CTTCAGGAACTTGTGCTGAAGTAGGCAAAAGACATCTGACTTATGAGGAGAGGCTCAGGGAATTGGGATTGTTTAGTCTGCAGAAGAGAAGAATGAGGGGGGATTTGATAGCTGCTTTCAACTACCTGAAAGGGGGTTCCAAAGAGGATGGATCTAAACTGTTCTCAGTGGTAGCAGATGACAGAACAAGGAGTAATGGTCTCAAGTTGCAGTGGGGGTGGTTTAGGTTGGATATTAGGAAAAACTTTTTCACTAGGACGGTGGTGAAACACTGGTATGTGTTACCTAGGGAGGTGGTGGAATCTCCTTCCTTAGAAGTTTTTAAGGTCAGGCTTGACAAAGCCCTGGCTGGGATGATTTAGTTGGGGGTTGGACTAGATGACCTCCTGAGGTCCCTTCCAAACTTGATATTCTATGATTCTATGATCTCCCCTCTTAGGGCCGAGAGAAGACAGAAGAGTGTCTGGGAGACCTGTAGCTGAGGCCAGGCCAGAAATGGATACCTGATTGGGCTCTCAGCTTACCTTGCTGGACAGCAGGCACAGGGCATTGGGTGGGTCTGGTACCTTTCTTAAGCAACTAGGCAGGGGACCGAGAAAAATCAGTTTGATGGAGCAGAACTACCCTCACTGTATCCAAGACTAGTCTAGGCCAGACTCTTAAAGCAAGATGCTGGCTAGCAAGGATGGTCTCTTGTATTGGCTTCACTGTATCACTTATAAATAGGACATTAGGTACAGTTAAAGTATTAGAGATCCATAAGCTATTAAGTGCAGATTAAGTACAGTATACGTATTGTATAATATAGAGAGATGACATTAAATATAGAGCAGATATGAGGTAGGCATAGTCAATCAGGTATAGGTCAGGTACTATATTAGGTATGCTGGACATAGGGTATTGAATATAGATCCGATAGTGATGATATATAGGGTATTAGGTAAAGATCAGATATTGGTCAGGCATAGAAGTACCTATAGGTACAAATCCATAGATAGATATGAGCTAGTAGGCATAGTCTGGGTACCACTCTAGCACTGGGTATGGATTGGCAGGGTACTCTACATACTATTCATGGTGTAGTTTTTAGTCAATCTCCCCAGCTAATAGATGTGCTGGGTGATTATTGGTTGACACCAGCAAGGGCTGTGATATCAACCCCTGTGCAACAGCAACCTAACAAGCAGGTAGGGAGCTTCCCATCCTACAGGTCTCCTGCTCCTGACTCCAGGAGCCACTGGTGATAAGATGAGAGGCCAGAGACAAGTCAGTCCAAAGCCATAAATGTTTTCTCTCTCTTTAAAGAAAAAAAGTTGCTTAATAATCAGCAGAGCATTTAATGAGAGGAAAAAAGGAGTTCTCAGCATTAAGAGCATATTCATGGTAATCTTCAATGCTTGTGCCTCCTTGCTGCATGGGGAATGCTATGCCCTGCTCTTTCCAAAAGGGCCCAGAGTATGCAGGTGTGAGGCATGGCTGTGTCACACAGCACCTGGGGTATGCAGGGTAAGGGTCCACCTTGTGAAAACTCCCTGCTGGAAGGAAACAAAAGAGTGATCATGGTTTGTTTCACAGCAGCCATTGCCCATGAGAAACTGGCATGATTTTATTTTAACTAAACAAATGGGGCCGTGAGTACCCCTGGCACAAAAAGGAGAACATCTTTTCATGTGCATGCATGTCGCTAACTCAAACTCTGCCAAACAGATGCTCTTCCAGTTTTGAGAGAGGAATTTGCTCCAGTGGGGTTATGGCCTATGAGTTGGAATTAAGTTAAACAGCTAAATCACAAACCCTGGAACATATGGTCTATTATTGACTAAAAGGCTGATGCAGCCGTTCCTAGTGCATCAGGAATTAATGTGCCTGGGGAGGGCTGGGTGACTGTTGCATAGAATGTTCCCCAGATATCCTGCCTGCATGCAGAAATGAGTTCAGAGGAACATTACCCCCTCTGCCTCTGGGGTCACTTTCTGGTAACAGTTTGAGTTTTACCGACATAAGCATTCACAGAAAGCAAAATTCAGAGCTGCACGCACAGTATCAGGGAATTCAACATTTAGATTTGTTCACCTAAGCATTCATGCTGAAAATGCTCATACAGAACCAGTCAGAGAACAGAAACTGGATCTCATCTATCTAATCGCAACACAACTGGAATTCCAAAGAAAGTGTGATCGACCCAGAGAGTAAGAAAGTTCACGGAATAAATCCAAACAGCAAATAGATTTGAGGAAATCACAATCTCATCCTGGATCTTCCAGGACCTTCGCTGCAAATTATTCACTCAGCTCTGTCCGCGGAGAACTTACTTCCCTTGCTTCACATTTCTGGAAATGCTGAGTCTCACATCAATTTTCTACCGGATGAAGAAAAGGAGTACTTGTGGCACCTTAGAGACTAACCAATTTATTTGAGCATAAACTTTCGTTAGTCTCTAAGGTGCCACAAGTCCTCCTTTTCTTTTTGCGAATACAGACTAACACGGCTGTTACTCTGAAACCTACCGGATGAACTACATTGATTTCAATGAAGTGCGTCCTGATTTATAGTGGGGTAAAGGGAGAGCAGACTTAGGCCCATTGCGTTTGATTTTAATGCATCTCCCTTTACCATCCTTCAGTCTCTTGGGGTTTCTATTGTGCAGATGGATGTAGTGAAGTATCCTTAATCCCCCTCCCCACCTGCTCTCTCTCCTGGTCTGTATTGTGACTCCTGCTTTATAGGCTCCCGTCTCTGTGGAAACGTTCAGGCTGCAACCTTGCAGTGCACTTCACTATCACGTCACCGCCTCGCAGCCTTATTTAACCTACTCATGTTGAAGGTGTTTGCTCTCCTTCTCTGTCTCTGCTGGCTCTTCCCACCTCCCCCACATTTTATGTCATCAGAAAATTTAGGCATTTTTGATATTATCCTTTCCTCAAGGTCATTAATATCCCTGCTAAATAAAGGGGATTCAGATGCCAGTACTGGTGCCACCCACATAGTCCGTCTCCCCATCCTGAATGCTCTTTTACCCATACACTCTGTTTCCCGTTACTAAGACGGTAATTCACTTGTTTCAATAACCTTCCCTATCCCAGGCGGTATAAATCACCCCATGCTGTGGTATCCTCTCTCAACGACATCGGGAAAGCACAACATGCAGGGATTTAGCTGTCTGGCTGTACTTTAGAAGGGGGTAGACACCTAGCTCAAAGCACTGTTACTATGCTGCAATCAGAGCCTGTTTTGTTTGCTGCATCCCCACCCCACCTCTCAGCTCAGTCAGAGCCTCAATACATTCTAGCAAATTCATCCGGCATGACTCACGGACCTTCCCTATGTGAACCTCTGCAAACTGCCCCTTACTAAAATAAGACGCTACTCTGATTTGCAGCTGGGTTTTTAAAGGGGGGTTAAATAATAGTGGAAAGTGCTGGACTGACAACCGTCCTCGCTTTGTGCCTCAGCAGGTAGGAGCAACCGCGCTGCCCCAGCTGAGCCCAGAAGGGACTGTGCTAGGGGTGAGAAAGGAGCACTGGCCCAGTGGCCCATCCTGTCCTTGGCCTCTCTAATGAGGCTGCCAGCCAGGGGCTCATTTACTGACCGTAATGAAAGGGAATTTTTTTGGCTGCTGGGATCACAAAAGCGTTTCATGTGGACCACGGAACAGATGGCAACAATTTCTGATCGATGCCGACCTGATCAAATTAAGGATCTTCCCTCTCCAAACTCTTTGAGCCACCGATCATTAGTTACTGCTCCATTTCAAGCCACTGCCCAGCCTTTTGTGAGATTCCAACAATCTGGCCCAGGGACTTTCTTATTGCCCTTTTTGCTTCCTGAAGGACTGTGGGCTGGAACCGATCTGGGCCTGATGCCTTGTCCAGACCCCCCGCTGCCTTTCTAATTGCCTCGTTACTGATTCCTGGAGCTTTTGAAGCATGATCACACCTGCTGGCAATGGAAGCTCCAAGGTCTTGACAGAGAATGTTGTTTGGAAGGGAGCATAGGGTCACTGCTCAGCACATTCTTTCCTGTTAGTTCTAAGCCAGGAGGGTTGGTTGGAAGTTCAGCAAGTCCCTCACTTTGAAGAGCTCTGATCAGTCGGCCTGTCAGCAGTCCGCTCACCAGCCTCACAAATGTGGTCATTTAAAATAAATAAATCAAAGGAGACCTAACTTCTTCCTTCTTTGGCCTTGTGGCACCGCCAGGGAGCTTGTAAAGCATCAGCATTTCAAAGCAGCAGGGAAATAAAAATAAAATAAACACCCCCCTCTTCACTGCAGATGGGTTAAATCCTCAAAGGCGTTAACTAGGGCACCAGCATGTCCATACTTCCAACTACAGACCACCCTCTGCAACGTGCTGAATACCCAGGCAGAGTGCTGTTTGCCTTTCACTCTCACTGCAGTCAGGGCAAGATCTAAAGGAGAAAGCAGGGGTGTGTGTGACAGACTAGCTAGATGAAGAATACGTGATGGCGTTCAGTGGTGTAAAAGCTTTATCAGCATGAGTTTGGGATGCAAGGGTTAAATATTTTATATGCAGGTTTAATGCCACTCTAAATCATCCAAGGGGCCTGGAGAACTTAATGGCCACCAAAACATGGTGTGTCTATGTCTCAAAGTTCCACACACCTGGAGCCAGTACATAGGTGAAGGGCATCTGCAGCCCCCAAACTCCCCTAGCTAAGGGGCAGTGGCTGACCTGGATTAAATCCTGTTTCCTCTTATTGCAGGAAACCATGTCTGATGCCCAATATCTCTTGTATTGGCTTCACTGTATCACTTATAAATAGGGCATTAGGTACAGTTAAAGTATTAGAGATCCATAAACTATTAAGTACAGATTATATACTGTACATAGCACTAAATATACGTATTGTATAATATATAGAGATGACATTAAATATAGAGCAGATATATTCGACTGCTCATCCTCTCTACCTCCTTCCCTGTCTCCTGCCTGCATCAGTGACTTTGCCATAGTAAAGCTTGTGTTTTGTCTCCTTGCAGACAGCCCGTCCGCTCCAGTCAATGTCACAGTCAAACATCTGAAGGCCAACTCGGCTGTTGTGACCTGGGATGTTCTGGAGGATGAAGTTGTTATTGGATTTGCAATCTCCCAGCAGGTATCCTCACCATATGGCCCCCCTCCTCTCCACATGAGCTGGGTCTCCCTCAGTTCTATCCCACCTGCTTTGAGCCTTAGTAGCAGGGAAGCAAGGGCAAACTCTGGATTTATCATGGTGCAGCCCGTCCTGCCTGCAGCTCTCACAAGGCTCCTGCAGAGCACTGACACAGAGTCAGCCTCTTTCTTCACCTTAACACATTTCCATGGGTTTGGATTTAGAACATGCCCCAAACGTATAATCCTGCCGTCAGAGAAGAACTGCACACTGACAGGGGAGTAGACAAGTTAGCATCAACCAGGATGATTACTCCCAGGGATAGGGGTGACCGTGCAAAGCAATTCATGGTCTTCACAGCAAAGGGGCTGAGCGGGGGAATTGATCCATCAGTGAAATCACCCTAGAGGATTCAATGGTTCGGGAGACTGGAGGAGGAATAGGTTGGTGGACTGTCCAACCCATCTCCACCCCAAGCCCCACCCAGGACTCCCCTGCCCATCCTCCACCCCATCATGCACCAAGGACTCCCCTATCCATCTCCACTGCATGCCCCACCCAGCTCTTATTACTTCTCATGGCAGGGAAAGCAGTTATAGCTATGCACACAACACTGCTCAGAGCATGAGGCTGCTCCCAGTCATGTCCCTGGGAGTTTTGCTGCTGACTTCAGTGAGAGCAGGGGCAGGCAAGAATGATTTAATGCCTTCACGCTTCCAGGGCCCAAAGGTGACTAGGCAGAAAATGCAACCTGCCAGAGCTAGCATCAGCCCCAAATCTCAGCAATAGCTCTGCCCAGTGGGTAAGTGCCAACAGGGATAGAACAATGAGAAGCTTCTGCATGGGGAAGATGAGAGCACATCCCTTTAAAGCCAACACTGGGAGGTTGCCATTTCATTCACAGAGTATGAGATTCACCCATGTAGAGGTCAGCACAAAGCATCAGCACCATGACATCTCTGAGGAGCCAGGGACACTAGAGGTGCCGAGGCCTTGTGCTGGGCTCTGCACAGGGTGAACGTCACCCAGAAGCTCCAGATGCTTTGAATGGAATTTGTGGCTTCTTCTCTGTTGTGACATTATAAAGCTGGAGCTAGTGAGAGCTCCTGGGAGATGGCGTGTGTTACCAGGTGATACAGGCATTGCACACCCTTGCCCTTAGGGTACGGATAAATACTAGAGAGATCCAGAGTCTGAACCATTCATCCAACTGGCTCTGAACCTCAGGGGAAATGGAACCAGCCCCTCTCCACCAAGCCTTTACCAGGTCACCTTCTCTACAAGTACTGGGCCTGATTTCCCTCCAGTATCAATCAGGAGTATCTCCCTTGAAGTCAATTGAGTTACACTTGTGTCGGTGATGTCAGTGGGAGGAGGGCTGGGCCCACTGTTTCTGGCAAGTTGGATGAGCGAGTGGCTGTCACCTGCACCCGCTTGCATAAAAGCAGCTGTAGCTGCTCTCACTGCTCGAGAAGCCTGTGATCAGATTAGAGCATGTCTTTCCTCCTACACCCGGTCTAGGGGGACTTTAAATGGCAGCACTAAGGTGCTGTCAGGGGCCCTGGGGAGCAATGGAAAGCATCTATGTAGCAAGGCGTCCGTCACGCAGAGAGAGAACCCTCCCTCTGAGCAACTGTGCTTTCCTGCCTTGGGCTTACAGAAGAAGGATGTGCGGATGCTGCGCTTCATCCAAGAGGTGAACACCACCACCCGCTCATGCGCCCTCTGGGACCTGGAGGAGGACACTGAGTACATTGTGCATGTCCAGTCCATCAGCATCCAGGGCCAGAGTCCAGCCAGTGAACCCGTCCTCTTCAAGACCCCCAGGGAAGCCGAGAAGCTGGCCTCAAAGAATAAAGGCAAGTGTGGGCAAGTTCTTATATGGCTCCATGGGCTGCCCCAGATGCAGGGCAGTGTTGTCCAGCAAAGTGGGAAATAGTGTCTGGTGCATTCAAAAATAAGAACAGTTGAGCTAAGTGCAGGCAGGGCTAAATTCGCTTGTTGCAGTGCCATTGTAGTCAGTGGGATCAGTGGGTGACTACACACAGGAGTGGGCATGGGGGATGTGCAGACGTAACACGTCAGCAAAGTGTGTAGTGTTCTGGGACTCTCTTAGCCTGCATGTTACGCGCAGGTTTTAGCATTTCTGTTTACATTCTCCATGGGTGTTTGTTACTGGCCCACAGAAATGTTTATGAGACCAAAGCTAAGGCTCAGGAGTTGGAGTTCTCGTATGGTGGAAATACTGTGACAAGACCAGATCTCTGGTAGGTTCAGCTCCCTGAGGCAAAAATAGCAAGTCAGTGAAAACCACCAATACAGAGATAAGATCTCGGCCTAATCCTCAGCTGGTGAAAGTTGGTGTGGCTCTGCTGACTTGGAGCTATGCCAGTTTTCACCAGCTGAGGACCTGGCCCTCATTGTTTATTCAGGCTCTGCACAAATGCTGGGAAACAAACAAAAAACCGAACAATTCACAGGCGCCCGTGTTAGTGAAAGTGCCTGAAGATTGTATGATGGGGTCAGACACAGGAGTGCTCCTGGCCTCACCTGCCCCCTGAAGTCACTGGCAGCTTCTGCTGATCTCTCACTTTCCCCATGACTGGGGTGGGAGGATGTAGAGGAAACTAACAAGGGTCAGATTGGAAACCGGGATGTAGAGGTAAAAGCCTCCTTCTTTCATCCCACTGCCCCAGGCTACTCAGTCCCCTATACCTGTAAGGCCAAATTCTGAGGTCAGCCTGAGCCTACAGGGAGTGATGGCAATTTGTAGCTTCAGATGGCTCCCTAAATGTGCCTGTTACACCAATTTATGCTCCTTCAGACTCAGCCCCTCCCACTGGTGTGTAATCCACACCCCCTTTACATCACCTCTGCGTCAATGCACTGGGTCTAGCTGAGTGTGAACGAGGCTAGGAGAGGCTAAGCTGGTGTAACTCATGTCAAGAAGCCTGAAGTGAGGTGTGCAGCATGGAAAGCAACTGACAGGACGGAATAAGAATGTGTAAATTGAAGGAGGCCGTTCCTACTTTCTTATTGCATCTTCCAGGTGCTGGGCAGGTAAGTTCCCCCAGCCTAGACTCCCTTAAACTCACACCAGTAAGTGGGATAAGCAGCACTAAGAGTTTAAATGAGTGTAGAGGAATCTAACGCATACCAGCTACACATTCCTTCCGACTCCTTCCTTCTGAGACTATACTAGTGTCAAGACTGGGGTACTCCCTAATGGTAAGGACACAAGAATCCTTGCTGGTAATGTAACTTTTGTATATCACATTAACCACAGCAAGACCAGCCTGTTTCAGTAAAATAATGCCTAGAACCCCAGCCGCTAGTGCTGCCAGCACCTGAATCTCCATTGCTCTTTCCTCAGGGGGTAGCTTAGAGGCAGAGGAAATGAGGACTGGGCTCAGGACTAGTGTCTGGCAGGAGCATACCTAGCAAATTAAGAGTACCTGGGGAAATTCTTGGTCAGACTGTGCACACAGTTTGGGATAGAACCCCTGGGGATCCATGCCAGGGATGCTGCAGCAGCACTAAAATGAGACTCACTAAACCTCCCTGCACTTGGATTCTAAGAGACCAATGGATATCCTGCTTTTTTAAAATCTGAAATGTTTCTGCCAAATCAGTTACTGCCAGTCAGGGAAGTGCTTTTTAATTTGTCCCTTCTGAGCAGACATCCAGCCAAAATCAGATGGTGCCAAGGCAGGTCAAAGAGACGTTCTGCAGCAGCAAGGCACTCTAACGAACAGGGGATAGGGAGGAGCAGGAGTCCGGGTTATAAAGGGTTACCAGATGATTAGGTTAGGCCATATTGTATTGCAGGGGTCTCATCCACAGTTCCTAGGATGCTGTGAGGTCTTGACTCTTTCTGCTGAAATGATTTGGAGCCTGTCAATAGTGAATTGCTGTTCAACTGAAAACACTGAGAAGAGCATTGTCTGCTTCCCAGGAGATCTGAACTGCAATCTTTGTAGTCCTTTGAGGCCACAGCTGTACATTAGGACTTGTGAAGAGGTACTACTCATTCCTGCATCCTGCAGCTCTGCTGAAAAAGATTATGCCAACCCTGCATACTACAGGGCATAAATCCTGAGCTGGGCTGGCAGGAATTCTGCACAGAATAGTGATGCGATGGCTAGAATACGCCAGTGATGGGTGCTACAGAAAACCCTAACACACAGAGAGAGGAATGACGATGCTAACAGCTGACTGAGGCATGATGACTCTGAACAATTCATGCTACTTTTGAACCTTGTACGCTCACTGTCCAAGGCTGGGGGCACATAGTTAAACTGGACACCAGCCCAGTGAGAGATTTTAATGTGGTCAGCTGGGGTTTACATTTCCAAATCTTCCAAGGGGTTTTCAGATCTGCAGCCACCCAGTTTTGCCCACTAAATGTCTGTGAGTTAGTGAGATGGGGAAGGAGCATGTGAAAGGAGCAGGCAGAGTCTGACTGAACTCATTGCACAAATGGATCTCATTGTCTCTCTCTCTCCCCTGTGCAGATGAGGTGACAATGAAGGAGATGGGGAAGAACCAGCAGCTGCGAGCTGGGGAAATTCTCATCATTGTCGTGGTGTTATTCATGTGGGCAGGTTGGTAGCAGGACCTATGACGAAGGCATGTAATGTCCCAGAGTCAGCTCATTCACTTTGTGTGTGTGTGAGTATACACCCATGCTGGCCAGGAAAAGATATGCAGAGAAATTCCTACTCCTGCCCCCTGTATACAGCATTGCACATTTGGATATGTGCATTTCACCTTCCTCTGTAGCATCAGGTATTGGCGACTGCTGGAGGCAGGATACTGGACTGGCTGAAGTTGTCTCATTTAGTACAGCAGGAGGTAGGATAATGGATTTAATGAACCAGTTGTCTGATCTGCAGTGGCAAATCCTATATTCTCAATCCTTCCAGAAAAAAATTGATGGTAATCTCCTTAATCCTGCAGCAGAATCCAACCCCTTTAGCACCTTCTGTTTCATTAACACAATGCAGCCCAAGTGAAGTGTGCCACGGTCACTATATCTGGCCCATTACATGCCTGCAGGTCACACACAAGCCAGTAATTCTTGTGAAGAGGTGTGGTGATATTCTAAAGACAAACATCACAAATCAAGAGTGAGTTACAACCTCCTGTCTCACTCTCAAGCATCCGTCATTCTATATTTACTAAAACCCACTTTCTAGATCTATTAAAATGATTGAACTGTTAAAAGAACAAATGATCAGGAGCATCCAAACCTAAAATATCAGGTGGTCAGCAATGAACCTGAATCCTCTTAAAATCTGGTAAAAGAATAAAAAGAATTGTTTAAAGAGCAAATTTCTCACACATCTGAGAGCAAACCTGGTCAACTCTGTACTATTATCGATGAGGCTATGGAAAGGATGAAGACTCTGTGAGCAAACAACCTGCACAGGTCTCTGAGTGATATAGGAAATGCCCCAGTCTGAAGAATTGTGTGTGTGTGTGTGAGAGAGAGAGAAATTCCCACTACAGAGCTCCAGTGACATCAGCCTAAATTAGATGATTTAATGGTCCCTTCTGGCCTTAAAACATATGAACCTATGGGTCGGATGGGCCAAGGGCAGGGGAGGAAAAGGGGAAATTTGTAGCAACGACAAGCAAGCTAAACGCCAAAAGTAGCGGCTGAGTGCTCAGCACTTTTTAAAGTCCAGCCAGATGTTTTGCCTAAATGTGGCCTTAGGAACCTAAACCCATTTTTGAAAATCTTGGCTTGATCTTGCAGATCTCATGCAACCAAAAATCCCATTGATTCAATGGGAGCTTTGCTGTAGCAGGGCTACAGATTCGGGGCCCATATGATTTAAAAGTCAATACTGTAGGGTCAGACCCACAGCTGTGGCTGAAGAGTGCTTGGTGCGGTAGCAGGATGGAGCAAAGATCCCCTTTGCACTTTTTCAATCCTGGAGCCACTTTGCAGTGAGAGAGGGCCTAGAAGAGTGCCCAGAGGATTTCCTTAGACGACAGTGGCTTGGAAGGGGCCACGAACAGGTGGGTCAATAAATCATAGAATCACAGAAGATTAGAATTGGAAGAGACCTCAGGAGGTGATCTAGTCCAACCCGCTCCTCAAAGCATGACCAACCCCAACTAAATCATCCCAGCCAGGGCTTTGTCAAGAGGGGCCTTAAAAACCTCTAAGGCTGGAGATTCCATCACCTCCCTAGGTAACCCATTGCAGTGCTTCACCACTCTCCTTCTGAAATTGTTTTTCCTAATATCCAACCTAGACCTCCCCCACTGTAACTTGAGACCATTACTCCTTGTTCTGTCATCTGCCACCAGTGAGAACAGCCTAGCTCCATCTTCTTTGGAACCCCCCTTCAGGTAGTTGAAGGCTGCTATCAAATCCCCCCCATACTCTTCTTTTTTGCAGACTAAATAAGCCCAGTTCCCTCATCCTCTCCTCATAAATCATTTGCCCCAGCCCCCTAATCATTTTCATTGCCCTCCGCTGGACTGTCTCCAATTTGTCCACACCCTTTCTGTAGTGGGGGGCCCAAAACTGGATGCAGTACTCTAGATGTGGCCTCACCAGTGCCAAATAGAGGGGAATAATCACTTCCCTCGATCTGCTGGCAATGCTCCTACTAACGCAGCCCACTGTGCCATTAGCCTTCTTGGCAACAAGGGCACACTGCTGACTCATATCCAGCTTCTTGTCCACTGTAATCCCCAGGTCCTTTTCTGCAGAACTGCTGCTTAGCCAGTCGGTCCCCATCCTGTAGCAATGCATGGGATTCTTCTGTCCTAAATGCAGGACTCTGAACTTGTCCTTGTTGAACCTCATCAGATTTATTTTGGCCCAGTCCTCCAATTTGTCTAGGTCACTCAGGACCCTATCCCTACCCTCCAGCATACCTACCTCTCCCCCCAGCTTAGTGTCATCTGCGAACTCCACCCGGGCATCAAAATCCTTCCATACAATTTTTAAAAAGAAATAAACCACCCCGGGAGCTCAGGAAAGCTAAGAATTCCCCATTATGAGTTTGAGATCAGATCTTCTGCTGGTATAAACTGGCATAACCCCTCTGAGCTACATCGGTTTATACCAGAGGAGGACCAGGCCCATCTGTTTTAATCTAACAAATATATAAGTACAGTGCACCCTTACTCCTCTGATCAGCCTGGAGCTTTCAGCATTCTCAGCAGCCAGCACTATGCCTTGCCCAGGTTGGGATCAGGATGCCATGAGTTAATGGAAAGGGAAGTTTGTGTTTGTTTGTTTTCTGTATAGAGCGCCAGCTTCCTCTGGCCTCCGTTCAGCAGCTGCCTCTGCTGCTGCTGCAGCATAAAACATTCATGAAACAGCACAATGTTTTACTCGTGAGCCGCATAGTTACATTGGTCGGGGGAAGATATTTCAGGTGAAACAAGGGAACTGGCATGCAAGGAAATTAACAGTACAGTAGATTATATAACCCATAAAGTACAGTCGGTATTTCCAGTTGGTATTTACTCCCATTGCCCTGATCACAGGAACATTCTATATATACTGTGTGTACAGAAAAACTGCTACTGTTGGAAAGAAGCCAACCAAAGCTAGAGATGTGTAGTTGAGGGGACAATCCCCACCTATCTTCCAAGAACATGCCAGGGGACTCACAGGAGATGGTAAAATGTTTCTCCCTTTTGTTTAGATGTTAGAGCAATGTGTGATCGTTCTGTCCCTTAATTGCTGGAGGCTGGAGACTTTCCCTATGAAATATGGATTCTGGACAATGGGTTCATTCTTCAGCTGTGACTGAGCTCCATTCAGTCAGGGATTGTGAGAGCTGAAGCCCCTTCCCCCTAGCCATGCCATCAACATGCTCCCTATGCCAGTAGCTGTAAAAGGGGGTGGCATAGTCTGCTATGTCAGTTCTGTGCCACCCTTGGATTTCCTCATGCTGGGGGAATCCTCAGCTGACTTTACAGCCCCTTTGCATGACTTGAGCAGGATCTGGCTCGTTGCCTGGCTTTTGTAAGACTAACCACCTTAACATTCTTATAATTTTGTGTGTGTGTGTATTTACTTATTTATTAATAAAGCCCTGAAGATTGACAGGGTTTGAAGGGTTAAATCATGTCCTCAAGAGACAGTGGACTTAAATCTCTGTTGGTGTAAATTGCCGACTTCAGTGCAGCTGTGTCAAATTTACACCAGCACAGGATTTGGCCCATTTATGCTAAATTCAGCTGAGATAGGATTCCCCCCCCCCCCCCCCGAGATATGTGGAGATGAAATAGGGTCACAAATCAGATCTGACAACAAATTTTGGTTAATAATAATTTAAATAAAAAGACAGGAGGCTTAATGGTGTCCTGTCTTGTTCCCCTGGGATTCTTTCCAACTGTAAGTGAATCCACAGGGACTAGCAGCAACCAGATAAGATTCATATATAATTTTTTTCACTGGAAAAATCTTGAGTTTACCATGCATTGGTACCTGCTTTCCACAGGGTTAGATTGGGTTCTAGTCACTGTCTCCAATCCCTGAGCCTTTAAAATAGTTAGATAAAGAAGAAAAGGAGTACTCCTTTTCTTTTTGCGAATACAAACTGACACGGCTGCTACTCTGAAACCTTAGATAAAGAAGTTACTGTCTCTGCACATTAAGAGCTAAATCTCCTGCCCTGTAAAAATCATTTGGGGGTAAAATAATTAAATGAGATAGCTAAAAAGGTTTAATCTAGACAAGTAATTATGCTTCATCTTCCGAAACTGAGCTCATAATGTGAGCACAGAATTGTCCAATGCCCTGAAAGAGGCTTGTAAATTCCCCTTCTAGACAAAACAACTGCCATTTACCAAATGTGGGCGGGTAAGGAAAATCTCACTGGAGCTGATGAGCTGTTTACAAAGTTTCATTCTGACCATGACTTTTCCCAGCCCTGTGGCTGAGCCGTCTGAGACTCAAGTGTGGAATTATTGATGAATGGAAACTACAATTAGTCTGAATGTATATACCCGTTCACTTTATACACTAAGCTTCTCTAATGGCCCAGTGCAGAGGGCATGACTTGGTGTCAAGACCTGGGTTCTAGTACTGTCTTTGCCTCACTTTGCCTACATTTCTCTTCTGAAAATGAGGATGATGATACTTTTATGCAACCGTCAGCATGTCTTCCCACGGCTGACAATTTGCTTGCATGCAAGAAAGAACATGTGTAACAGCACTACCTGGCAAGAACTCCCATAACACCTATCACTGTTAAGTGCTTTGAGAGCGACAGGTGGGAAACTCTATATACATGCAGAGTATTATTCTTATGTGAGTTGGGTCCTTTTCCAGTAGGCAAGAAGCAATGGGCTTCCTGGCACCTCTGTTACTTTGTGTTTGAAACCAACAGGCAGAGAGGTGGTTATTTGGTCAGAACATAACACAAAAGCCGCTGTGAAAGACATTTTCACTCTCTTCATTTGTCATGGCTGCCTCTGCTTTGTTCTCCACATGCCTAAATGTGTGGGAGGACATTTCCGTTGGCACCTCATCCTGCTGTAGCTGTCATATATTTGCAGATGATGTCCTGCTGAGCAGGAGACCCTGGTTTGTTTCATCTTCAGGCAGGCACAGGTCATTCATCGCATCCTCCAGCTCAACTGCACCTCTCTTTGCTTCAGAAAAAGAAAGCTTTGAGGGTGCATTTCCAACTAATGGATATTCCAATATGCCCCTGTGCTTGCAAAGCAAAGGTCACAGGGTCAGTGTAAACTGTTATTCAAATGGGAAGCTTAGAATATTTGTCCTGTTTAATGAAAGGGAAGTGGGAGTACAAGTAATCTCCTGATCTTGTCTGACTGGGTTAGAGTGGAATTTGACACTGTGAAGGAAGCAGCCAGAGCCCGACTAGTCGTGTTAGAAAAGGATCTTTGGGACTTGGTGTCAATGCTGCTGAGGTCTCTGCCAGAAGGCACAGAGCAGCAGGCTAGTGGGCTCTGATCTTTGCATGTTCCAAAGGCCTGGCTCATGCATGTGACCTCTAACACTTTTTCCTGCTAGGAGTGATCGCCCTGTTTTGCAGGCAGTATGACATCATCAAAGATAATGAACCAAATAACAACAAGGAGAAAGCCAAGAGTGCGTCTGAGAGCAGCACTCCTGAGCACCAGAGCGGAGGGCTCCTGCGCAGCAAGGTAAGATGCTGTCGGCACACGGGGGGGATGAGGCTGCCAATCAATTTCCAGCAGGGCTTCTGGTGAATTAACCTGAAAACCAACCTTCTGTTAAGGATCCCAGCTATAACATTCTCTCCATGGGGCCAACGTGTAGAACCGAGTCTCCCATCTGACAAGGGAAACAGCATGGTCTAGTGCCTTGAAAGCACAACTGCAAGTCAGGACTCCTGGGTTCCATTCCCAACTCTAGCACTCACTAGGTGGCCTTGGCCAAATCATTTAACCTCTGTGCCTCATTTTCCCCCTTAGTGAAATTAGGGTAATTCTCACCAGAATCAATTAAGTATGGCACAGGCAAAGCCTAGAGACTGAGGATAACTCAACAAGAACAGGTCAAGGCTCTGATCCTGCAACTGACTGTGCGGGGCTCACATAGAGCAATACTGAAATCAGTGGGGTTCTGTGTGGGCAGAGGAAAACCTGCTGGATCACTGCTTAACAAAACAATAGCAGGGCTCTCTCTGTGAGCTGCCAGTTCAAACATGTTTCAGAGTAGCAGCCATGTTAGTCTGTATTCGCAAAAAGAAAAGGAGTACTTGTGGCACCTTAGAGACTAACCAATTTAATAAATTGGTTAGTCTCTAAGGTGCCACAAGTACTCCTTTTCAGTTCAAACATGCCACTTTCCTTCCAGAAGCAAATGCTTCCCTCCACTTTAATTTCTATAGTCCTGGATATCCAGGACGATTGATGGTGATACCCATGGTTTGGAAAGTGAGCAGCAGCTCCACATTTGATTCCAGAGAGATAAGGAAAGTGCTAGGGATGCAACCAAGCTGCCTGACGGTTTCTGTTCCCTTGGCTCTATGAATTTTGATGACACTTTATTTCCCAGCTCTGGCAGACTGCCCTTCTTGGTGATGAACTGGTACGGTTTAGGAAAAGATGCTCAATATTTTGTTAACTCTGCCATTGTTGGCATTACTCCTGTCACGGTCCCTTCACCCTGCCCAGTGCAGGGACAATTTATGACAGAGTGATAGCCTTAGCTCTATGTTTCACGATCCTTCTGTATCTACCCACAGTCCCTTGGGATCAAACATTTACACCAGCAACATTGAGCAAGCAGTAGACCCAGCTGGCCTGTGTGGATTTTACAGTTGTGAACCCTTTGCTTTCCCTGGGTGGGTTGTGCACCATAACTGGGCAGCAGGCTGCCCAAAGTAATAGGATAAAATTCTGATCTCCATTATGCCAGTGTTACTCCAGCATAAACTCCATTGATACTAAGTCACACCATCACCATAACGTACCCCTGGATTACTAGGGGCCAGTTTGTCATTGTTCTAGCCCTTGTGTAGTCATTTACCCCTGTGCAAAGCCGGGGAAATGCTAATAAAGCAGAATTATAGCATTTTGAACTGGTGTAAACAGTTGCACAAGGTGCAGGCTGATAATAAATTGGGCCTCTAAAGTCCAGAGTCAGACTGTACAGACTGTTTCTTTGCCCAGCAGTTGTAGCCAGTGTTAACACCAACCAGCCCCACCACCGACCCCTTTTCATTATGCTGCAGGCAACAGGACCATTTACAAATTCACTACTGCACTGAACAAATCTCTGATGGCTTTTCCTTAACAATCTCTATACATTTCTCCCTCTTTTTCCCTTCTTCTAGTTTCCAAAAAACAAGCCTTCAGTGAATATCATCGAAGCATGACAGCCTGGCATCTGATAGATGGACTCCATTTCTCGTTCTCCCTCTCTGCTTCTGAGCCCTGATGACTGGGGAAGTGAAACACTGTTGGAGCAGTTTGGAGAGACCTACTGGTTGTCAATTTCTGGCATAAATCTCCTTCCCTTGCTCTGCAAAAGACAACTGGAGAGAGAGAGAAAATCCTGAAAACCACCCCACATAAGCCACTGTCTGAGAAGGAAAAGCTTCTGTGAAACTGATGCCTCAGGCAATTCTGTATTGGACTCACAACTCACCCAGGCTGTAACAAATCCCAACAGACTCAACTTCCACCCTCTGATCCCTCTTTCTCCTGGAGTGATTTGCCTCTCTTTGGAGATCACAAAATTTCATTGTATTTCTATTTTGCTTCACCGTCGCTGCGTGTTGACAGCATCAACATGGACTCAGGCTGCATTTGTATTTCTCTTCAGAGAAATGAGGAAGAAACACTAGACAGTAGCAGAGAAAAGGATTTTGGCTGCTGTGTACTGTAATCTCACTCTGTAGCACTCATGTTTGGTGTGTAATACATTCTGCAGGTGGGATTTTTTTGTATGTTTGTTTTTAACAAAGGCACATTACAGTTTCCATCTGGATGGTCACTACTTTGCTGGCTGCTCTCCAGTTGAGATCTGCAGCACTTGTCTCTATTTTTGCCATCTCTTCTATTCTCCAATGCTGTAATCCACTTTAGATAAGCAGGGTGGAATTCAAAACACTGTGGGGCACAGACCAACAGAGACAAGAAGCCAACCCTTGGTTTGATTCCAGGAGAACTTGGGCCATTTCTTCATGATATTTAGGACTGGGCCTGACTAATTCCACCTACAGTGTAACAAATGGTCCTTACAAAACATAGCCAGTTAGTGCAAAAAAACAAAAACAAAAAAACAACAAAGTCATGATGATAATGGTTGCTATGCAAGGATACCAGGTTTCCAGTGCTGACAGCTCTCTCATTCACTCCCAAGGGATCCCTGCCTAATGATGGCCAAGGACACTCCTTAACTAGTTATTTCTTTTACTGAGGTTCCAGTGGATGGATCTGGTACTCCTTCCACTTTGTGTCTCCACTATTCATCATGACACTGTATTGCCAGGTGTTTGTTAAGAGTCCCTCCACAAATGTGGAGGGGGAAGGGAGGAGTTTACTAGTTGCTTTATGTTTATAAGCTGACATGTTCCCTATGACTGACAATGTTTTGAGGCTGGTAGGTGAGAGGTCATCAAATGGAAGAAATTTACTATCAGAGCTTTGCCAGCACGCTTTTATAGTATTTGTTTAATTACCTGACAAGGCCATTCCATACATGCTGGGGGGTAACATGGGATCCTAATCATTCCATCAAATACTAAGATGGGTTGGCCCAAATAGGATTTAAATCCTCCCACTGCAAACAAATTTGCATTCAGACAAGACAATGATTCAAAAGCCACTGCAAAGAAACAGGCTGGCAGTCACGGAGTTCAGACATCTTCCCCCTTTGATATCCATTAGCCTCTCTCAAGTAGTCAATCCAGGAGAAAGGCACTGGGAGGTTTGCATGCAGCGGCATTTTATAAAAAAGGGCTTCCCCAGTGCCAGTTTCAGGGAGGCAGTCAGCCCCACCCACAGTTTTCTAAATTGGATCCTGAGCCAAAAAAGCTACTCCCCCCCACCACCACGAGGGAGAGGTCAACACCTCTGATAGTGTTGGAGCAATAACCACTTTTTAATGTACAATAAAAGATTAAAGGCACAACTTTCCTTGTAAATACCTGAGTTTAGCCATGTTTCCTCTTGGTCTACACTAGGGCAGAATGCATGAAATAGAAGTGGGGACCTTCTACCCAGATTTCTGAGGGATCATGAATTTGGCTGTTTTTTCCCTGTCCCTAGTTGCAGGCAGCAGTAAAGGTTCAGTAGGGGGTTAACTTTGGTTAGGCTGTGGACTAAGGTGAGAAAGAAGCTACAACATAAGTAAGCTACAAAGTAAGCAAGCCCTGCTTAGCCAGTAGATGTCTACAGGAATGTCTCAGGCTTAGTATGCAAGAAAGAAACGTCAGTCAGAATCCACAGCCTACCTATAAAGGAAGACTTCGAACAGATGGTATGGCATGTACAAAATGATAAAAGAGATGTTCTATCCTAATTTTGGTGCAGACAAGCAAACAAGAAGGCCCTAAACTCTAACCTAGCTGCTGCTGAGGAAATTCAGCCTGAGTAATTTATCAGAGTGATGTGTTTTTTATACAAAAAATGTTTCTGGAAATGCAGAGAACATTCCCCATCTTTGACAGTAATTGTTGTTGGTTCCTAGTGACAGGTTTTTAGCTATTTCTATTCCAACAGTGACGCGCTTGTTGTTCATTAGAGATGGAGAAATTAAAATGCGAGGCATAGATGCTTGTTCACAGTTAAGTATTCAACCCATGATATGGCAGCTGGCAAAAGGAGTGCATCATTATGCTCCATAACTGCAGGCTTCAAAGGTAAGGTAATAATGCTATTAGCGAGAAAAACAAACGTAGGCTAGGAAGCAAATCTACTCGTACCAGAAAGGAATTCCAAGCTATCAAATGCAGCTGACTCTCTTAATGCAGAAGGGATTTAATAAGAATATACTTTATCTAAAGAGGTGCTACATAAGGAAGGGAGAAAGAGATAGAGACATATAGGCCCTTTTAAAAATTTTACCCATTTTCAAAAGCAACTTAGGTGCTTAGAAGCCCACGCAAGTCTCATTCAATGAAATTTAGGCTCGTAAGCACACGTCACTGTAGAAAATGGAACATAGGCACCTAAGCCACTCAGGCACTTTTGAAAATTTTACCCTTAATCAGGAAAAAGACATTGCATTAAGAAACAAACCAAGTAAGCATTTAAAAAAAAAAAAAGTGTATGATCTGCAATCACCTTAAAGGATGCTCAGATTTTCCAGTGTGATTTTGCTTGCAAAGTGTAGTTTTTGCTGTATACTAAGGAGCAAGCAGGAGTGTAGTAGAGTGAAGGGATTCCAAAGAGCCCCGCAATAAGTGATTTTCCACTGAACATAAAAAACAAAAGAAAGCAAACATCAAAATGGCTCTGCTGATGGTGTGCAGTCGCTGGAGACTAATTCAACTGATTTCCAGGAACCAACTAAGCATAGCTGATGTGCACAATAAAGGAATAAGAGAAAACTACCTGCGGGCCAGCGTATGTCTAAAGTTAAGCACCACTTGCTTTATTTCTTAAAAGCAGAATAATCCTGTGCTCATTGGCACTAATTTAGTCAATATATTCCTCCCCCACATAAGGGTTTAGTGAAACTGTACCACAGAGGGCGATGTGGAGTAAACAATTCAATACAGGGCGTCCTTCCAATTCACAATCGTAACTGTCATCAACTTCTCAATCACTTTCCTCGTACGCTAAGAAACAGCACAAACTCTGTTTCCTCATTTCTTTGAGAAAAATTAGAACATTTACGCCTTTTAAACAGACAGTTCATTAGAGGAGAAAACACCTACATGCCTGAAAGTATTTGTAGAATCTCAGCTGGTAACAACTTACTGGAAGAGGTGTGAATGGGGAGAAACAGATTGTTAATTGTAGTATTTGACCAAGATATTAAAGGTTATGTCATTCAAAAGTGTATATCACAGCAGCACACCCATTTCAGAGATACAAGAGATCTAAGATGTGGGTACTCGTATGCATCGTCAGATTTCAGTTCCTAGCAGACAAAGAGGGAAATGAAGTTCATTCTGTGTTTTGCCATATGTAATTTCCTCCAGATTTGCAATAAGGCTTACTATCACAACATCCTAAACTATCATTGTTTTGCCTGTATAGAGACCACTAACAGACAGGCAAACTATCTACATGTGGTGAATCTTCCTTTTGTTAAAGGAACATTTGTTTGTTAAAGCAACATTCTGATCAACAAAATCACTATGTTAAAAAGTCATTTACTTTCTCCATGGATCTCCCCCTGCTCTGAATTCAGTCATATCCACTGACCATACAGACTAAAATAAGTATTTCCCTACTTTTTAGTCCTCTTAGCCCACCCACCTACGAGAAAGTGAGCTGGATTCTATTCTGGCTTATGCATCACCATCAGTTCTGTTTAACTAAGTTCCAACTGCAGAACCGTTATAATTAGTGACAGAGCCAGGAAAGGCACAGCTTGAATTTCAGATCCCAGATGGAATCGTAGGGCTGGCAGCTAGAATAGCCATCTTTTTCCTTGCAAGCTGAATGAGTCTGATGTGGAGCCATAGAGAGAGACGATAATGACGGAACCTTGTGATGCCATTTTACACTTTTCAACATATCACTGTCCTTTTAAACTGATAAGGAGAAACTCACTTGAGGCAACCAATTGCTAAACATAACTTCTTTGTATCAACAATACCCCTTTCTCAACTGGTGTAACTGACATTACTGTACGTGCCCTTAAGTCAGATCAGATTCCCTTGACTTTTAAACTATACGGAAGAGAGTGGTTAAGGGAGGGAGTTTATCAACTTTTACGCCAGGTTTTAGTGCACATTTTATTTCTGTCCTTTTAAAATTACACTGCAGCAAAAAGATTTGGCAGGAAGATCTGATCAACTGCTGAGAGAGGAGAACAGCTAGAACAGGTAGTTAGTTAGCTTTTGTCTTGCTGTTGCTATTAGAGTGCAACACAATGGTGAATGCTCTTACTAGATTTCAGAGGAACAGCCGTGTTAGTCTGTATTCGCAAAAAGAAAAGGAGTACTTGTGGCACCTTAGAGACTAACCAATTTATTTGAGCATGAGCTTTCGTGAGCTCACCCGATGAAGTGAGCTGTAGCTCATGAAAGCTTATGCTTAAATAAATTGGTTAGTCTCTAAAGTGCCACTAGTACTCCTTTTCATTTTGCGAATACAGACTAACACAGCTGCTACTCTGACTTCTGATTGGAGAGGTTTTCTAAAAGATGCATGTTTCAGCTGTTGACATAGCCTTAAAAATTGGGCAGTCCTACTTCAGCACTTACAGACTAGCGGCAAATTGACACACCCTTAATAGCAGCCTTCTTGGGACTCCATGGTGGCAGGCAAAATGTTCTCTTTCATTAACAAATGCAGTATATAGAAGTTAGAGCAGGGGGCTAGGAGTCAGACAAACCTAGGTCCCATTCCTAGCTTCACTGCTGATGCACTGAGACACCGGGCAAGTTATTTAACCTCTCTGTGTCACAGTCACCACACTTATAAAGCGATCATTACGAAGGTGAGTAAACTGCTAAGCCCCTAGAGATCCAAAATGGAAAGGTGCTAGACAAGGGCAAAATATAGTACATGAACACAGAAACACTGAAAAAGAAAACCTGGGCACTGTGCTATTTTTTTTTAAATTACATTAGCCAAAGCTGCCACGAGAAAATCTGATAAAAGGGGAAACCTTGTGAGATTTGCCAAATGGTTCTGACTTGTTCAATGCTTTGCTCTTGTCATTTTTCCTGTCAGCTGCCAGAGAAAATCAGGGCGTGAAGTTGACTCCATGTTGCTAGTATTTCATGTACTATACACAAGAAATATTTTGTCACCCACTGTTGGACTGCTTTATCAATGCTTTACATAGAGCATTTAGGTGAAACAGTTATACAGCACGTGCTTAATGGTCCTTTAACAGACACAGCTACCCTAGACTAAACTGATACTTTCTCACTTAAAATGTATTCATTAATTCTAGTTTTCATTCAGCACTTTCCATGTAACCAAAAGAAAGAAAACCTGCCTGAAGCAAACACTCATGGCTGGACAAAAATTGGTTAAGGGATGCGGAACAGAAGTGTACTCTTGCATATTTGAGATGGTCTCTTCCATTAGGAGTTCTTATAAAAGGATGGTCTCCCACCCACCTGCACAACAGTTGAGTTTTTGTTTAGAGGGGTAAGTAACTAACAAGAACAAGAGCAAACATAGGCAGAGGTTTAAAGGCCGTCCGAGTATGTGTTTGAGGCTACAGAGTCCATTGACAGGTTTCAGAGTAACAGTCGTGTTAGTCTGTATTCGCAAAAAGAAAAGTACTTGTGGCACCTTAGAGACTAACCAATTTATTTGAGCATAAGCTTTCGTGAGCTACACTCCGATGAAGTGAGCTGTAGCTCACGAAAGCTCATGCTCAAATAAATTGGTTAGTCTCTAAGGTGCCACAAATACTCCTTTTCTTTTTTGAGAGTCCATTGAAAGAATCTAACATTGCAATGGTTGAGTTACTCCTTCTCAGGGAAGTTGATTTTAGCTACAAGAGAACTACTTTTCCTCCTCCTCCTGGAGGAGATCCAGTTAAGCTGTCAAAGCTACAGAGAACTATGGGATGTGCCTAGGAATGAGGAGATTCCTATGTATGTACTTACTATCACACAACTGACAAATTATGGAATAAGTCCCATTCCTCAATCACATACTACACGACAGGTCTTCTGTGGAGGAATGGCGAGAAGTGATGCTGAGCTCAGCACGGTCCCCTCCTTACACCCGGTACACCAGACTGAGACAACAAATAAGGCAATACGAAGTTCCACTCGTGAGGCACAGAGAGCTGCTCTGCCAGCTGCTCCACATTTGTTTGTTAAGCTTTTTAAATTCCCTGAAGTAATTTGTCTGAGATGTGTCACTTTAAATTTCTATAAATAACTAGATGGAAATAATAAATGTATTAAGTTCAATAAATGATCTTCATTTTCACTTGTCGATTTTACAATGTGTTGTTGTTCTGCCTCATGGACTAGGTTAGAACTACACAATGCAAAGCAATAAGCATATCTGCTATTTACACTGAGACAGCTGATGAGCCAAGAGTAGGAAAGGAGGCCCTTGTTAATCATTCACTCCACCTCATCCTATAAGGAAGGGAAGTTCCAGTCCAGCAACCCTTTGTTCTGTGCACTTGCCAGATAGGGTGGACATGAAAGCTTCATCTTTTTTCACTGCAATGACCCAGGCTATCTTGGTTAACTTGCCCTTTAAAAAAAATAGAAAGCCTCCTTGAAGAATTTGTTTAGCATAAGGGGACACGAGATCAGAACACATCCACTTAACTGTTGATAGGGTCCAAGAAAGGCCTTGTGCAGCAGAAGAGCCAATATGGACTCACAAGAAAATAGGTAAGCAACTAAGGAAGCATTCACATCAAGGCTGCTATTAAACATATGGAGGAAGCTACAAGTTCTCTCCTTGCTGTTCGTTCAGATCTCTCGACTGTCTTCACTTCAGAGCATCAGACCAGCTCTCCAACTAGAGCAAGCTGGCTCCTTTAGTTACAGTGCTGTTATTCCTAAAACATGGGTAGGAAACCAGATTGCAAGAAAGGGCAGAGGACAGGAAAGGACTCACACACACACACAGGGTCGCATCAAAAACAAGAGACATTTAGAAGTGCAAATTATTTATAAACACTATCAACAAAGTGCAAATCTACATGCAACATTTCACAAAGAAAAGCTATAACCAAAGATGACAAACAAGGGAGGCAAGTAAATTTGAGGAATGGGGAAAATAGTCTCTTAATTGATGCCAACTTGATGTGTCAAGCCAGAAGACTGCCTTTGTCAACCTTCATAAAAAGGACATCGACCACACAGGTGATTCCAACATTAATGGTGTCCTAAGGGAACCTAGCAGTTGCTCTAAAAAACTTAAAGCTTCGTTGTGAGCCCAGGCTCTGGCAAAAAGATTTCCATTCTAAATTGCATCATCCAGCTCCTGCAGCTGAAGCATTATATCCGTTAGATTTCTCGTTCGGTGTGACTTCCTTTTGAACAGTGGGGACACCGCTGCTTGTCAGCAGCTCTCAGGAAAGCTTGCTTTTGTTTCAAAGGAAAATACTGATAAGAAATGCTTCAAAGAGTTACCTGTACAGAACAGACAACATCTTTAATTTGTATTTAAAAAGGAGGTTCTGAAGGTCTCCAAAACAAAGACACACAAAATCCTCATACTGGCCTTATTAAAAAACAGAACAATCCATAGATCAAACAGCTAAGCTACAGGACAATTAAAAACGAACTTTAAATGTAGAAAAAACAGAGCACAGTCCCTCCGTAACAAGCAGCTCAGACATTGGAGGATGTTGTGACAGAGCTACGCTGGAAGTGGTCAGGAATGTCCTGGAAGCGACGGTGGTGGGCCAAGTTCCTGCTCACCCATTCCTTAAGGCTGCACTTTTGGGTGGGTTTCTTGGAGAACCTTGGGTATTTTCTGCAAGAACAGAAGGGGAATAAAGGTAACAGAATAATTAAGGCAAATATGGTGTGTAGGAGCATGCATACAAGAGCAGCAGGAACAGTGGCTAATTTGCAAATGCCTTCCCTCATCCCGTGGCACTTGCAGACACTTTTCTATTGCCAAAATTTTTAAAAGAAAATTATCTTGCCACGCTGCTATGTTAGGTACAGTAGAAGAGGAGTCCTTCTAGGAGCATTATCTAGTGCTTTCTGTTACCCTCCTTGCAGAGATCTGTCTCTCCATGGCCTGCCAGAGAAGTCTGAAGGTTGCTCAGTTCATGGCAGTTAAATGAGAAGTAAATTCCCACAGAAGGAGCTGTTGTCATGCAAATATTGCCATTTCCTGGATCTAGCACATTCTGAAAAAGCTGCTGGCTTTGTTCAAACAAAAACCATCAAAAATACTTCCTACAAGGACTTAAAATAAAACAAGCAAAAAAATTTCCACAACACAATTCCATTTTCATTAACTTGTTTATAACACACTTTCAGATGCAGGAAAACAAAGCTTTTCCATATTAGCTGTCAGATGCTGCCTTCCCCCTTCTGCACATAGCAGAGTTGGCTCCTCTTGAGTCTTTTCATTTGGTCTGGGCAGATATATTAGCATGGCTAGGAAATAATATTTATTAACTGCAGAGCCATCTGGGGAACCATGAGACATTGGGTGGGGTCACGCTTACAAAAAAATTAACTATCAATATAGTTATTTAGGAGAAGGAAAATTCATACCAACAGCTTTTCAGTTCTACAGCAGTGGTTCAACACAAGTTATTGTGATTAAACAAGCCTAAAACAGCAAAGTGGCCTGGCAGTTTCAGTCCTGAAAGACTGGCGTCCATATTACAGGTCACCATCACAACTCATTCCTGTGTTGGGAGCCTCTCTGAAGAGTTGGAGATGGAGCCGGGGCGGGGGGGGGGGGGAAGAGCGGAGAGAGAAGGGGGGACCTCCTCTAGGGAGGACAAAATTCAAAGTAAGTGTTACACTGGCAAGATAACATACAAACATTGTTACCAGATACTTGTGTTGTCACCTTGATTTGGCTTGAAATTTTGTTTCCAGCAGTGTCAGTCAGGTACTTCTGGTGAGCATTACATTCTGAATAGATATTTAGAATCCAGGACACCTTCCTTCTCAAGTTGTAACAATTTCAAACAAAGGTCAGTGTTCAGGCCTTAGCTACTTCATATTCTTAAAGTGAATTTTAAAAAAGTCAAAACAAAACACCTCCAATGGAAATAAGCTCCTGAACAAGTTACTTTGTAAAGCCTATTTCATTTCCCATTGTAAGAGGGGCTTTCCTCTGCTCCCTCCCCTCCTTACAAACATTTGATGCCATACCTCATGGTGAGGTCTGATGGATGCTGCCATCTGCGGTCCTGAGTTCGGTACTCCCTGCTGGCAACCTTATCCATCAGTGCGTACAACTCATTTAAGGCATCTGCAATGCAGCAAAGTAAGGAGTGAATGGGAGACCGCGCAGGCCACATGAAGCTGGAAAAAAGACAGCAGCAGCATGGGAACTCTGGCCCCAGCTCGTAAGGTTGCTCCTGGTCTTACACCACGGGACAAACAGAGTCTGCCCGAAAGACAAGAGATCTACACATGTCCATTTTCAGGGACACTTGTGCAACATTTCCCTGGAAGCAGAGAAGAAGCAGACACCTGCTACTGACATGAGTAGGATACTACTTGCCATGATGCTTGCCAAGTAGCGGACTCAGCTCCTCACTGCAGTGACGGTCCACTGCAAGGATCCATTCGCACATGTCTATAATCAGAGTGTAGCAAGAGACATCCCTGTCCACAATCACTTACATCTGAAAAGGATGTAACATTATTGCTCATGCAGCAGGGTTACCTACTGCACAGAACAAGCCCTTTCAGTAGATACAGTAGTTCTCCAAAGGCCTCACACCATGAATCCTTGGTAAGGGAATGCAACGGATAGTTTGGCAAGATACATGAGACTGTGTGTCCAGGTCACAAAATAGCTCAGAGCATATCTGCAATGCTTGTACTCTTGCCCACTCCTCGCTTCAGTATCTGATAATGCAGGCTGAGACGACATACTGCACACTACAGCAGAAGTCTGTTGTTATGATGTTGCTACCAACAGAAAACAGTGCCCTTCCTCAACCAACACGAACGGAGGTATTTCTCCCATCTTGCTACTGTAGTCATGTTTCTAACACTAGGAGTGGTTCTACATGAGACACTTCTTCATTCCACAGGAAGTGACTGCCTACTGAGTGCATCTGTGTAGAGTGGCCCCACCTCTCTTTCACCCACTGGAGCATCAGCTTCTGTTTGAAGTGACCAGTCCCAAGTCTGACAAGAGGCCATTCATTTTTAACTGCACACTTCCTAAAGATGGCTCTTTGAAAGTCCACAGTCTGTGTTCAGCCAGTATTGTTTACGGAGAAACGCAAAGTGACAAGAGGGCTAACAACATGCAGACACCCACCATGCACATGTTGCAGAGCTGTTAAGCCCAGACAGCAACTCACCCTTTGAATCCATTTAGATTAGAGTAGAAGTCCCTGGAAGACTCGTGATTTCTTCCAGTTTATCTATCTTAAGCAACTTCCCACAAGTTCTTACTCTTTCTACACCAGGGCCCCTGACTGAGTTTCAGTCATGCCATCTTTGGGCCATCCCCCAGGCCCCAAACTTTTTGCCAGTACGGCTGATGTAACTTGGATCTATTTGCTGTTCTCAGCTGCTGGGGACAGAGCGCAGAGGCACTCTGGCCAGATCTCCTTACCTGCTGAAAGCCCTAGTATACTGGCGCAGTAATAAAAGACTGGTGTAGAGCTGTTAAGTCTTCTGTACACCAGCCACAGATTAGGGGAATGCAATAGTCTGTTCAGCTGGCTTTCCTTCTGCTTTACCCCAGCATGATGTGAAGCCAGAAGAAAAGGTCAGAATCAGGACCATAGTTTTATTTATAAGACAGAAATTGGTGATTGATCTTTTCCATAAGGGTCTTCTGTCCTCAGGGCCAGTGCAGGGTTTTTCCCTACAGCAGAGCATCTCAAAAGTGTCATAGCATGGAGCACATTAACATGTTTTATGGACATTTCTCCCACCCATTCACAAAAACATAAGCTACTTCCCTTTCCACTGGCAATCACAGCAATTGTTTCCATAGAAGAGTAACATTAAGCAGCCATTTAAGATTTGTAGCTTCTTTTAGCAGCTGAAAATGAGAGCCAACACTATGTAACTTGCCAATTCTCCAGACTACCAGTGGTTCTTGGATCACAGTGGAGAACCAATGCTGTACAATAGAAATAATCCCCTGCTCCTCTTTATCAGCATCTGGTCTCCTTGGAATTTTTGGACTCTTCAAATACTTGGCGCTTCTTGCACTACTTAATCCAAAGATCTCAGAGTGCTTCGGCGAAAGCAATAAAAATTGTTATTGTTATTTACAGATGGAGAAAGGGGAATGGAGGCACAGAGACGAAGTGACTTGTTACGGTCAGTCTGCATAAGAGTCAAGAATAGAACTTGGATCTCATCTCCCAGGTCTGTTCCCTGAGCACTGAGTTATTTTCCTGCGCTTACAGATATATTCCCACGCCCATCCTCCCAAAATAGCAAAACGGGGAGAAGCTATATATTTACATTCAGATTTTCATAAAAGCTGAGCCCTCATTTAGATACCAAGAATCTTCAACTGTTCTCAGTGGGAAGTTCTGGATGTTGAGCTCTTTTTGAAAGTCTGGTCACTAGTCTTAAACTTCCCTTAAAAAATAATCCAGCCCCCTTACTTGTTGCGTTTGGCTTCCCACTAGAGAAGCTTCTGCTTGAACGCTGGGCTTGGCTTAGGGGTGGGGGTTGGAAGGATGGAGGTAATGCTACCGTGGAACAGCTGAACGTCCAGAAGCTTCCCCTACCCCAAACACAATTTAAGTCTCATTGTGAGTAGGCACCTTTCCCAACCTGCTGTACAAACAGAGCCCATACACTCTGAAGTCCAAACTTATCCCCCTTCCCAGGATTTGAATTTATTATGGGTTTGGGTGGGGTTTTGTTTGAAAGAACCAATTCAAGCCTTCTTCCCAGACTTGATTGGGATTAGGATTTCTCCTTCAGGAAAGCTCAGCCCACACCATAGATCCTCTCCCTGGAAGAGCACTCCCCCATACTTTATATCCAAGAGCATCAGTGAAATCAGCAGAACCCACTTAACCTCTGCCCTTAGGTCCCTTGTATGACTTAATCCTCCTTGTCTGCAACACTTCCCAAAAATCTGCAACATGTATTTAATAAAGATAGTTAACCTTCATAAATTAAAGGTATTAAATAAAATCAGGTCCTAAAAATTCCCTGAGGCACTTCACAAGTTGTCTCCTCTCTCTCTGCCCCAGAGGATCCAGCTTCATCATGTTTTTGCCCAGCTACCAATGGCATGATCGAGTTGGGAAGCATTACAATGCAAATTGTGTGTTTCCAGAGAGGAGATAAACAGGTCACCTCCAAGTGGAGGCAGCCCTGTGTACCCAATATGCTGTGTCAATCTGCCCTTGGATAGAACTCCTGGTACAGTTTTACTAGCAGAGGAGCTCTTAAGGAAAGAGGCTATTAGATACCAGATTGGAAGAGCTAGTATTGCTTTCCAGGTACCAAACAGCTTACAAGTCTGAAGAGAGTCCACATGACGCCATGAAAGTTGTCTGAGCAGCAGGTGGTGCAAGCACTATTCAATATGCATAATTATGATGTCAATATCCTGCAAAGGCAAATTTACTGAACAATGTTGCAAAAAATCAAGAGAAGAATATACAGAGGGAGAGGAAAAAAAACTCACCACTAAATTTGTTCTTCACCTGCTCTTTAAAAAAAAAAGGGGGTTCTCAGCTGTTCTGTATTCTGTCTCTTATAGACCAAGACGAAGTAACAAAACTGGGTGAACGTTCAATGCCAAGAGCCACAACAATAGTCACTTCCAGTTATGAAACTAGGGAGCCTCTTCACTAGTGACAAATGATTCTGGACCAAACAGAATCCACAATGAGGATCTCGTCAAGAAGGATTTGATTCTATTTACGGTTGAATGAAGACCAATAATGAAGTTTGAATACTAAGCTAGTGGTCAGCTGGCAAAATTTCTTTGTGGTCAATTATGGACAGTTTCAGCCAGTCATTTGGAAACAGATGTTCAAATCACATCACAATTTTACATCTGCTAGGACACAGCCTCTGCAGCATTTAGATTCATGTGGAAAGCTGCAAACAAATCTATTTCATTGGAAATATTCTATTCCCTAGTTCCTGGAGGATATCCATAGACCCAAAGCCACAGGTTTATTCTGCACAGGGTCAGTTCACTTTGCCAAACAGGGAAAAGTTAGCTCAGAAAATGGACTCCTTCCAAACTATCCAATATCCATAAGACTAAATGGTTGGCAGTTAGTGCAGCTGTTACCTTTAAGTGGTTTAGCCCACAAAAGCCACCAACATGAGCACAGAAAAGTTTTATTTGTATAATATTGTGCTGGGTGCTATACAGACAGGTAAAAAGACAAGTCCCTGCCCCAGACTAGCTTACAATTGAAACACGCAACATACAAATGATGGACAAGAGATGTGCTACAACAAAGAAGTGTGGGGGAGATTATGCTGAAGAGCGTGAACAATTAAGTTAAATACCAAAGTACAAGTGACAGCCTACAATACAAAAAAAGACTAAATGTGGTGGCATAACAAGGTATTACTTTCAGTCACCTGGTTGGTTACCCCTTCCCAGCAAAAGGCACAGATCTGGTGAGCTTTCTGGCCTAGATTCCAGGAGGAATTACTCACAGCTACAATACATGTGCTGTGGCTCCTTGACAGGGTTTGATTACAAATTCTCACTGGGTTTGTGTGTGTATGGAGAAAGGATCTTATGTGACTCAACTGGAAAAACCCTCCCACCTGTCAAGCTACATTCCAAGCCTAAAGTTATTTGGAACATTTCCACTAAGAAGCAAAAAGATTAGGTGCATCACACATAACATTCTTCCTCAGTGAAATGGAAGATCCTGCCAGCCTTGTTCATCAGGCTCCTTCCTGACTTGCTACGACTCAGAGATACACCTTGCATTTTTAATTTGAAAGGAGGAGAAAACGGCTCATAATTAGTTTTCCTCGCAGAGTCCCCTCTGCATTATGTATGCGATATTCATAGACTGGAAAGCAGCCCCATGGCTCTGCGGCTGTTTGCACTGCCCAGAGAAGTGGCGGCTCCATGTGAGCAGCGACACAACTGTCAGTTTCTTGAAACTCTCAAGAAGGGCCAGTTACCACACCCATGAAAAGCCTGACGAACGAACACAGTTTGAGGCCATCTTTGTAAGCCGCAAGGGCCATATTTAACCTCTGGAGTTTCTCAATTCCACCCACAATTCCTTCAGGGGTAGCTCTTCATCTACTATTCATGTTTGCTCTTTACGTGGAGATTCTTCTTTAACCTCTGTCAGCAATAGCTTTTGTATGACTGATCTGAGAGGTGCACAGCCTAAGAGTCCTGGAAGGTATTTGCAGGAATTTCAAGCCTTACTACTTGGCACTTAAGTTAAAGGTTTCACAGTTTTAAGTTCTATGCTGCCAGCTAGGAAGAATGGCCTCCCATCACTAATCACCATCAGAGACAAGTGCCCGTGTCTACCTCTCCCATTTTGCATTTTATGGCCAATTTATAAGTGCAATGCCCTCACTGCCCAAAGTGCCAATTTTTGACAGTGTACCTGCATTCACCACACAACTTGAGCACGTGCATCAAACTCCTTGTCTATCGCAGCTCTTACAGGCAGAGAAGCTGCTTCTGAGCTTGTCCCAAAGTGGGGGTGGTTACATATTGGACCCTAAGTTCCCTCTAAGCTGCACGGCCATGCAGCAGCCTATTAAGCACCGCACAGGCGCTCAGGGGAAAGATGGCTCTCCCCCAGCCCCAACCCAGCCCCGGCAGGGGAAAGGCGCCCTTCCCCCAGCCTCGGCCTGGATCTGCCATGGTGGGGTGAGGATCTCCCCCCAGCCCAAGTGTTGCTGCGGGGAGAGAGGGCTGGGGGGCGTCCTCTCTCCCCACCATAGCCCTGGGGCAGCCTGCACCCCAAACCCCTCATCCCCGGCTCCACCCCAGAGCCTGCACCCCAAACCCCTCATCCCCAGCTCCACCCCAGAGCCCGCACCCCCAGCTGGAGCCCTCATCCCCCCGCACACACACCCCAACCCCCCGCCCCAGCCCTGAGCCCCCTCCCATACTCCGAACCCCTCGGCCCCACCCCCACCACATGAATTTTGTTATGTACACCAATATGGAGATGAGTTACACATGATCTCCATATTGGTGCGCATAAAATTAATTCTGCGCATCCGTGGGAAAAATTGGAGGGAACACGGATTGGACCCCACAGTCTCCATAAGTGGAGCAGGCAACATTATTCTTATTGCTACCTAAAAAATAATATCTGAACCAACTTTGCTGAATGCAAACTGACAAAATTTGGTCCTTTTGGTTTGGTCTGTGCCTTCCCCTCACCCCATCCCAATCCTTACTGCAGGTTACCTGGTGTAGGATCCATGGAATTCTTTACATGGGCACGCACACATTGGATATAAATACACTTCTTTTGCTCAAGTTCTGCTTCGGAAATGCATATCCGTTGTTTTGGTCTTTAAAAAAAAAAAGAGAAAAGTTAATTTTTCTGAAGTACCTGTCAAGCAAGGCTCCATGTAACAAACAGCACCATGATTTCCTGTGTGGCGAATACAGATGGAAGGTCCTTATAGCACTATTCTTTTGGACACACTAGTTGTAAGAAGGAGATCTGGCAAGCCACTCCTAGGAGCAGGACAGCTGACAAGTCTGCTCTCAGCCTGTGGGAAGAGGGGATGCTTGTCTCCCATTAGCAGTGACCTACAGAAAGCTGAGGAGTGACAATGGCAGGAAGCACCAAAGTCTGATTGGAGTGAGACTCAGAGCTGAAGCAGGTGGAGGGAAGGGAGTAGCAAATCTAGGAGTAAGAAAAGATCATGTCAGCATCTTTCCCCATGTCACAGACTGCCTGCTTTAAAGAGGGTGGGTGAGGTAGTATCTTTTTATTGGACCAACTTCTGTTAAATACAAGATATTTCCTCACCCACCTTGTCTCGGATATCCTGGGACAGACAGGGCTACAACAGCACTGCATACTGCCTGCTTTGATAGTTAACATGCTTCCCTATCTTTGGTCCGCAGTATTGTTGCTGCCATCTGCTGGAAACCAAAGGGATAAAGGGGAACAGTGACCACAGCAGGTGTTCTCACACATTCATAATATGAACTACATCCTAATAGTATCTCAGACACCGCCTCTCAGACTCAGGACAGCTTGGATCACCTCCCCTCCCATTCACAAGTAACCCTTGTGACAACTACAGCAATCGCTTCCATGGAAAATATTACCTAACAGGGCATTAAATAAATTTACTTGCAATTTAGCAAAAGTGGAAATGAGAAGAGTTATTACCCTGTGAGCAGCCAACTCTCCAGACCCCTAGCGAGTGCTCCACAAACCAGCGTGAGAATTGCTGAGCTAAGGTATGTTTAACATGTTACCTTTCTTCCACCTGTGGCACAGGAATGACTTTGCCTAGCTTCTTCCCACAGGTAGTGTCTTCCCCACAGTTCTGGTCTAAGACTGCAGAGTTTGACTGGATAGAGGAGGAGAAAGAGGATTAGCCTGACAAGACACTCCTGTGTCCATTAAGATGTATTATTTTCCTATAGAAAAGCTTACTTATTGTGCAAGGCTGCAAACCCATGTATGCACCCTGATATTGCTACTGACAACTGACCTATAATGTTTAAATAAAAACGTGTGTGATCCATCCACCCTACTGCTTATTTGTTCTGCTTCACAAGCTTATGGCTTTGTTGAAAGACAAAAACATTTCACTTTAAAACATACTGATTAAAAAACATTTTCTATTAAAAATACTTAGGCAAGGCTGCTTTATAAGAGTAAAGAGACAGAGGTGTGTGCTGTTACTTTAAGATTCTCTGGTGATTCTTCAACAGACATGGATTCCTGGCTCAAATCTTCCTTTTGGGAGCCAAAGGTCCCTGATAATCCATTGTCTGTTCCTTTGGAAGGGTCCTGATTTAAGACGACATTAGAGGTTTTTGGATGCAGTAGCAGTACAGGTGCTGTATTCTCCACTTTGTCCTTACTTTGACTATAGGCAGGATCAGGAGAGTATGTGGAAAATTTTGTGTGCGCATCACAGAAGGAAGAGGATTCTTTGATTTCTGATGGCAGCTTTTCCACATTATCCATACCCCCCCTGTGCTGCTCTTTAGAAACCAGGGACTCAAGGGACTCTTCAACAACCAAGCTATTAGAACTGATTTCCTCATACTCTATACTTTGTTTGCTTGCATTTTGTAGATGGTCATCTCTTATTACTTGTGAAGCTTTTTCGCCAGTTTTCTCCAAGCCATCATCGCCTTTCGGCTGATCTACTGAATCTGCATCAGTTGGGGAAAGACTTAGAGGCCCCTGAAGATCACAGTCAAATAGCGTACAAACGACTTGATCTGATTTCAAGCAGTCCACGTTCAAGCATCCTTCACCCTCAGAATTAGCTGTTTCATTCTCAAGAATTCGAAAATGTCCGGTATTAACTGAAGAGCCAGTCTGAGATAGAGACTCGTTACTTACTAACTCATCTATGGTCCTGAATGTCGTCTCTGTGCCTTCAGGGGGGACTGATGCCCAACTACAATTGCTACTCACTTCCTTCTCACTTTGCCCCCATACATCTAGAGTCACTAAAGCACTCTCTCCAGTGGAGTTCTGGTCATCTCCTAAGCAATCATCTGCTAACATTTCCCTACACTCTTCCTCGGTATAATTGAAGGGAGAGTTCCCTTGCTCATCATCTGAGGGTTCCAGCAAAGAGTCATCTGGCTCACTATCATCAAAACATCTAGTTGTATCCACAGAAAGGACTACCGCACTGTCTTCTGGAAGACAAACTCTGATGACGATGTTCTCCAGCTCAGTATCATCCAGACAGCCAGGGAAGCAGGCAGAATCTGGGGAGCATAGTGGTAGTTTCTTTGATGGACATGGAGTGCTACAATAATTACTCAAGTGGCACTGTTTCTTAGCAGCTGATTGCAGGGGCTGATCCTCCTCCAGCAAGTCTAAGGGCCTTTTAGTCCTGTGGATTGTATCATTAACAAGAGTCACTTTATGATTAGGATATACACCAAGCCCAGAGGAATGTGGAGAGCTGTCTTCCATGATGCCGTTGGTCTCTGTATTTAAGTGACCTCACTGCTTCTGCTTTGGCCACTAGAACCAAGGGCAGAATAGGTACCAGTGTTTACTGAGCCTCTAATCAGCCTATAATGTGCTTCACTCTTCCAGAAAGTTAGTCAGTCACAGGACGGATCCCACTTGCCTGCAAAGAAAAAACGACATAAGTGAACTAAAGGAGTGTTTCTCACCTGTTCGTATCTCAGCTAATCTTACTCCCTTCGCAGTCCCCTCTGTCCTCTGGAAAAACAAATGTACACCTCTCCACCTTGGGCAAGTTAAGTGTTGGATTTTCACTTGACCCAGAACAGCTTACACTTATCCTGTGACTGATCCATGTTAGAAATACTAGTCACTTTGAAATCTAGGGCATTCTGCTGCCTAACTTTTAAGGAAAAAAGTATTGCACATATTTTGCCTCTGTTGTTTCTCTTAAATTTAGTCCTTCCTGATGCAGCAGCAAGGGAAGAGCCTATCAGCATCCACTCTTGGAGCAAGTAGCCCAATGTCTGAAGATACCTGGCCTCCATAGCCTTCACTCCTCGCTATTATAACCTTTAATAACTTTTATTTAAGTCATAACAGAGTGAGCTTGCTCATGCTATTCAAACATCAGCTAGAGAACTACAGCCTGTAAGCCAGACAAGCTAATGAGCAATCCCCCACATAGAGAGGGCTCACAAGTCAGAGGTCTAACTTCAACAGCTATATTAGCCAGCACTAATAGAGTCTAAATCATGAATACAGTGACCACTGCATGCGGTTTTCTTTTAAGCTGTTGATATAATCAGTGTAACATGCCTCAAAAAAGACTGTATAAAGAAACATTGTATGTTTTCATAGCGCCTTTCATCCAAGGATCATAGAGCAGTTTGCATACTAAATGAAGCCTCAAACCTTTCCTCCCTCTCCAGTGAGATAGCATTATATCATTTTTAAATAAGAAAACTAACAAACAAAGGGTTAAATAATATAATATTATAATGTTAATCCTTTTAATAGGTAATAATATTTCTTTGGATGTGCTCTTAGATTCGTATACTTACACCCTTCCTTGAGGACCTGGTGCTGAGAGACAAAGGACCAGCCCTGCCTCTGGCATGCCAAACGAATCTGATAGTCCAAGTTTCTCAATGCCCGAGATGGATGGTAGACAATGTTGCCTGATTTAAGGAGGTTAATATTATCATTTTAGATAATCTGGGTTATAGGCTCACCAGTTAATCTGATTAGAAGATAATAAGGTTCTTGTCCCAGAACCAGGCTACACAGAGTTTGCAAGGACACTTGGGATATACGACAAGGATGCTCACACTGAGACAAATGTAGCCTTAAAGACTTTTATTGAGATAAATGGAATAGTAATCAAATAGTAAAATAATCAGAGTTACAAAGGAAATAATATTGTTCTAGAGATACATGTGATATTATGCACTATAAAGCTTTTGATTAATATACTCAGACCCTTCCTTGATAACCTGGTATGAGATAAAGGACCAGCCTTGCCTCTGGCATACCAAGAGAGTTCAGGTCCAGGTTCCTCAATTCAGGAGTGGGAGGTGCATTGCTTAGGAGAAGCTAAAGAGCTAAGAGCTATAGAAGACTAAAGAAGTTAACTTAGAGTTTTACTTAACTCACTGACGTAAAACTTACAATTAAGAACTAACAGACTAATGAACAAAAGGATAATAAACTAAGAATGAAGAAGCTTCCTTGGCACAGTTGGTCACTCCTCTTACAGAGCTTGAACACTTGAGCCCTCCTTCTATGTCCAAACTTAGTTTCCTCACCCACAAGATGCCAGGGTACACTTGCTCCAGAGGCAGGTATGTTCGTACATACTGATGACACACATACATGTTAATGACATTAGCTCATTCTCACATTTGTTATTTCCGTCCTAACCGGTTATTTCCAAGTTCTTTGTGGTGTACCTGTTAAGTTTAAAGAGGGTATGAACTTAGGTAGCTCTCCTATGCCAACCTGCTTCAATGCATCCTTTATCTACATTAAAGGTCGCAACCATATATGGACCTTATGGTTTAGCTCATCACCACCTATTTAGGTAAAAGGTCCCAAACATATGTACGCTAACTTTGCCTTAGCTCCGCATACAGGATGTGGCCTGTAGGTCCCTTGTGTTACAGCCAAAAATACTCTAATATAAATCTATAAACCTAGTATAATAAAACAAATAATCAAACACACAAAAAAATAAGAAACCCATAAGAAAAGCTATATAGGCAAGCAAGCAGACTAGCCCTGTAGGCTACAATAACAATAGAGATGAAGGATCATATGATGGAAAAATACACTAATTCAACATGCTGGTTTGCCCTAAGCTAATGCTCAGCCTTCCATGCCCAAGTCTAACTTCCTCACCCTCAAGATATTGGGGTGCACTTTTCCTATAGTTTCGGATATTAATACATATTAATGCCATTTAGCTAACTGTCATATCCGTCACTTCTTGCTCAAGCAGGTTGGCGGTTATCATTTCCATGTTCCTTTGGTTGCCATTTACCATTAGGTTTCAATTCCTGCCACAAAGCAAGCTATTCCTAGTTCCCCAAAATCTAAGGATAACCATCAGGCCATTTATCTACGCCAAAGGTGGCAGACCTACTATACTTATGCTAACTTGTTTAAGCTAATATCTTACAGCAGTGGTTCTCAACCAGGGGTACATATACCCCAGGTGGTATGCAGAGGTCTTTCAGGGGGGTAAGTCAGCTCTTCTAGATATTTGCTTAGTTTTACAACAGGCTACATAAAACACACTAGCAAAGTCAATACAAACTAAAATTTCATACAATGACTTGAAAATTTGAAAGCAAGCACTTTTTCAGTAATAGTGCACTGTGACACTTTTTGTCTTTTTATGTCCGATTTTGTAAACTAGTAGTTTTTAAAGTGAGGTGAAGCCTGGCGTAGGCAAGACAAATCAGACTCCTGAAAGGCGTATAATAGTCTGGAAAGGTTGAGAGCCAGTCTTACAGGATACAGACCTGTACGTTCCTTGCCTTTATTACATTCAGCTATAATGCAAGCCAGTCCTATAGGCTACAACAACAAAGTAACGCCATCCTCTTCCTAGGCCTGCTATGCAGATGGCTAGCCCCATAGTATAGCTACTAGACCAGAATCTATCCCAAATATATATACTTATTAAAAAAGAAAAATAGATAGAAATACACTACATATAGGCCTCATTAGCCAAAAATACCCCACAAACAAAACCTGTAGTAGTTTTCCTGAGCAACTCTTGATTTCATATTTTCTTAAACTCTTACTCTGTAAGAATATCATAGTCTGGGAACCTAGTCTTCATCTGACTCTCTTCAATCAGTTAGTCTCAATAGTGGGAGGTATTTCCTGTCCCCTTTGACCAACTGGGATAAAGAAACACCTTTTGTCCATACTCTTCACACTTTCTATTGGTTTGCCTGCTTACTGGGTCTAATGAGGAGGGGTTTGTTAGGGAGCTACACTATATAGAAGAGAAAATCAGGCCGCCCTGCGGCTTAGAGGGCTTCTGGCTACCATCCCAGTCTAAACACAGGAAAGAAAGGAAATACAGAAGGGAGCAGCCACATATTTAGAAGAAAAAGGGGAAAGTAACTGATATGGTAGTCTGTACTTGCACAATGTTTTGCAATTCAGATACAAATATTTTAACAGAAGAAATAGAGCAAATAAAAAGAAAACTAAGAACTGGTTTGGGTCCTGCAGGGTACTGCTCTGTGGTGGACTACTCTATTACAACAATAAACACTTGAAGTAGTAGAACATATGGAAGCTATCCAAGATTTTACTAGAACTGTTTTAGCAAAACACGTTCAAACATATTTACCTGCTCCGTTCATAAAATAAAGATAATTTCTTTAACTGCCATCCCTGCTGACTCACCTTTCCATCTGAAAGCCAACCTGGGTACTGTACTTTCTGCCTCATACATCAACAGATTGTGCAATCAGAATTTAAGTAACAATGCTATTGTTGATACGTGAACCAGAACAGAGTCCAGCTCTTGCCCCAGGGCTGCGTTGACTCTGCAGGACTAACTGAAGTAAAAAAAATAAACTTGTTAGTAAAGTAGACCTGACTGAATACCCACAGGGAGTGAGTCTGCTGAGTTAAGAAGTCCATTTTCAGAGTAGAACCATGCTTTAAGTTGTAGGGGACACCTGCCATTGGACAAAGTTTAAAAAAAATGTTTCAAGGCTCAATCTCTCTACGTCCTAGTAAAGAAAGAAATAGGTTAGAAGAGACATTGGCAGGATCTTAGCTGTAAGTAAACTCAGAGAGCAAAGATGAAATGTAAAAATATTAAATACCGATATCGACTGTAATATCGCATCTTAGTAGCTATGTAAAGTGAAATCCTACTCCTTTACATCAAAGCTATACGCAATTCAGACCCTTAGATCCCTTGCCTAGACTTCAGTTCTATTCACACCTTTTTACTGATCTATATCCTCTGTAAATACCTATTAGCCTTTGTAACCTTGATTTTTAAATGTTCCCAATTAATATTAAATTGTCAAAGATAAGGATACATTAAATCAAACTTAGTTTCCAGGTCCGAGGCTCTAGGTTGGGTACAGACAATTTAATTTAGCAGTGGACCCTGGAGGACACTTTGAACAATAGAACTTAAGAGAAAAATTATTAGTTAAGCAAACAGACATACAATTACTGTACCATTTACACAGGTACTAAAATTATACTCACATTCAAAGATGGAATGGTGTGTGAGCTGATCAGCCTACTGACAACAAAATGAAGTATAGCTTTTATAATCAGGTAACCTAGCTGTATGCTTTTGGTGTTAATTGGAGCTTCCTCCAAGTTAGCAAAGCTACTCCTTTTGTAACTTATTAAAATACTAATTAACATTAAATCTATTACCATATTCACATTCTGCCACTTCTTTATTGGCTCTTTACATTACAGATTATTTAAATTAACACCTGCACCAATTTCCTTTCCATGCTATCAGTATAGATAGCATTTTAATAAAACATTCCAAATTCTCAAAAACACCCATTAAAAATGGCTGCTAAAACCAGTTATAACCGCAACATAACTCGAGGTCATGTCCTTGCTACCTTCCATTTTCCCATCTTGCTATCTCCAACTTATCTCTAACTTTTATTTCCACTAACAAGCTCAATTTTTCATACTCCTCCATATTTAGCCTAATTTCTACTTATTTTTTAACCTAGCACATTTTATAGACTACATCTTCTCCCTTTGTAGTTTTCCTTTCACCTGAACAGCACCTACTTCATTATCACTCATTTTTGTTGAGCCTTTCCTCTGACTTCTTCCAATTAACTACCTGGTTTTCCACCTTTCCTTCTGCCAGCTTTACCCTCATTTCTAAAGGCAGCCTCAAGGTATAAATATCACATCCATTTTTATTTTCTGTTTCTAGAGTCCACCCAAGGGAACAAGTCTCTCTTACATTACCTAATCCATTTCTTATGCAGAAATTCTCACACACACAGAAATTCTCTTTCTGGGGAGCAGAGGTCTCTAAAGGAATGGGCATTTAGTGCCCATAGATCTCATTCTATTTGGGGGCAATCAGGAAGAGGGAGGGAGTACCAGGAGGCAGTATCGCCCCAGTCAGAGCCCTTGAGAGGTGGGCTCTGACTGGGGAGTGGCCAGTGCCCCTTGTAGCCTTATTAATGGATTGGTGGTTAACTAATTTATATTGATCAATCACTTAGACCACAATGGTCAATGAAGGTTTGGTGTCCTGAGGGCTACAGCATCAGGATGATGATCATCAGTATCATTAGAATAAAAGATGCTAGAAGCACATAAGAAACAACTGCAAGTCTCTTTATTAAAAAGTGCACTAAGCAGACGAACAATCCCACAAACACTAAAATACAACAGAGAAAGAGTGTGAAGTTTAGCCCTATGATTAGCATCACTCACATCTCCTGCTGGGTAACCATAGAGAGTCAGTGATTATCTTCCTCCTCCTCATCACTACTACCACCACCACCAGTGGTTGCCATCCTAGCATCTCTCCTCTTCTTTGCCCCTCCCTCCCCCACAGGCTGGCTCACCTTTTATTGAATCATGCTTACACACACTAAGACTCATACATATGCATATGCTTCCAATGCCTTTTTCCTCATCCATACTTCCACATCCCACTAATTTAGGGGCACCTCATTTCTCATTGGCTATCCCTTAGTTCCCCTTACTCTCATTATACTCTCTGTAAACTAGTTCCCATGGTAACCTGCAGAATTTCTCATGATGTTACAACTGGGTGCCTCGGGGTCTAGACAAGTACACTGTGGTCTATTTTCCCTATCACCCCCCACGGGCACATTCTTTACAGTAACCTTGTAATTTCACTGGTACAGGGTTATTCCTGGGCCACCTTCTTATGCCAACGCTCCTTAGGCCTAATATGGCTAAAGTGAAATCTTATAGGCCTCAACTTGTAGGCCCCATCACCCAACATTAATTTTTATGTTTCGCTCTATATCTTAAATATACTTAATATCTATTATTCTTGGCTGCACCCTCCTGCCCAGAGTTCACCTCAGCAGGGGGACAAGGGGTCAGGACCCCCCTCCTCCCCATTACAGTCCATCTGGAGGGGGAAGTTGTGGTCAAGAACCCCCATTACATCCCACCTGGAGGGCAAGGGGGGTCAGCTGTGGTTGGGGTCAGGGCTCCCCCCATCACATGCCACTCCTGCGGGAAACCAGAGGGCCCTGCACCCCAACTCCGCAGTCAGACTTGACTCTCAGTCAGCAGGTAACAGAAGGTTTATTAGTCGACAGGAACACAGCGTAGAACAGAACATGTTAGCACGGAAACCAGTGACTTTCAGACAAGTCCATCTTGGGGGGAGGGGAGCCCGGAGCCAGGGCTCTGGCCCTCCCCCTGCGCCCCAAGCCAGCCGAGACAGACTCGCGTCCAGCTGCCTGGCCCCCTCTCTGCACAGCTCTACAACATCCTTCTTAAGGAGACGGCTACACGCCATCACCACGCTGTACCCAAGTGGTCAAAGACTCACAGGCCTGCGCTCTCTCAGCACCCCACGGTCCCTGGGAGGAACCCCTTCAGTGCCAAAGCCCAGCTGGGGGGGTGGGGAGTGGCAGTTGGGGTCAGGGCCCCCCCGTCCCAGCCCAGCTGGGGGGGTGGGGAGCGGCAGTTGGGGTCAGGGCCCCCCCCCCGTCCCAGCCCAGCTGGGGGGGTAGGGAGCGGCAGTTGGGGTCAGGGCCCCCCCCCCCATCCCAGCCCAGCTGGGGGGGTGGGGAGCGGCAGTTGGGGTCAGGGCCCCCCTCCCGTCCCAGCCCAGCTGGGGGGGTGGGGAGCGGCAGTTGGGGTCAGGGCCCCCCTCCCGTCCCAGCCCAGCTGGGGGGGTGGGGAGCGGCAGTTGGGGTCAGGGCCCCCCCCCGTCCCAGCCCAGCTGGGGGGGTGGGGAGCGGCAGTTGGGGTCAGGCCCCCCCCCCGTCCCAGCCCAGCTGGGGGGGTGGGGAGCGGCAGTTGGGGTCAGGGCCCCCCCCGTCCCAGCCCAGCTGGGGGGGTGGGGAGCGGCAGTTGGGGTCAGGGCCCCCCCCCGTCCCAGCCCAGCTGGGGGGGTGGGGAGCGGCAGTTGGGGTCAGGGCCCCCCCCCGTCCCAGCCCAGCTGGGGGGTGGGGAGCGGCAGTTGGGGTCAGGGCCCCCCCCCGTCCCAGCCCAGCTGGGGGGGTGGGGAGCGGCAGTTGGGGTCAGGGCCCCCCCCCGTCCCAGCCCAGCTGGGGGGGTGGGGAGCGGCAGTTGGGGTCAGGGCCCCCCCCCGTCCCAGCCCAGCTGGGGGGGTGGGGAGCGGCAGTTGGGGTCAGTCACAGCCCAGCTGGAGAGGGGGGGGAGCGACAGTTGGGGTCAGGGCCCCCCCCCCGTCACAACCCAGCTGGGAGGGGGAGCAGCAGTTGGGGTCAGGCCCCTCCCCCCCGTCCCAGCCCAGCTGGGGGGTGGGGAGCGGCAGTTGGGGTCAGGGCCCCCCCCCGTCCCAGCCCAGCTGGGGGGGTGGGGAGCGGCAGTTGGGGTCAGTCACAGCCCAGCTGGGAGGGGGAGCAGCAGTTGGGGTCAGGCCCCTCCCCCTCCAGCCCCCCCGTCCCAGCCCAGCTGGGGGGGGGGGGGGGGGGGGGGGGGGGGGTCACAGCCCAGCTGGGAGGGGGAGCAGCAGTTGGGGTCAGGCCCCTCCCCCCCGTCACAGCCCAGCTGGGGGGGGGAGTGGCAGTTGGGGTCAGGGCCTCCCCCCGTCACAGCCCAGCTGGGGGGGGGAGCGGCAGTTGGGGTCAGGGCCCCCCCGGTCAGAACTCGCGCGCGCTCCCTCCCTCGGGGGAGACTCACTCACCCGCCGCCATCTCAGACGCGACCCCTGGGCTCCAGTCGCGAGTAACTAACGCGAGCTCCTTAGGGCTTTTGGGAGGGGGGGGAAGGGCCTCACAGGCTCCGCCCCCGCCCGCTGCGAGGCCACGCCCCCCATCGATGTGCTCTGGGCTTGATTCCTCCGCCCTGTCCGTGCGGCGGAAGCGCTGTCTGGGGCGGTTGAGTCGCCGCCCGGCGCCGCGCGAAGCTGATGTAACCCGGAGCCGGCGGCTGGAGACGGGCCGCGGGGGCGCCTCGCCGGGGAGCAGCGGGTCGGGTCACGGTAAGAAGTGGGGGGAGGGGTTACACCCAGGACCCACAACCCCCCTCTCACCTCCGGGCCCGAGGCCCCTGCCTGGTGGGGGGGGGGTCTCCCCCTTCCCGCGCGTAGCGGCCTGTGGGGCCGGCTCTGCCCCGCTTCTGTGGGGGGAGCAGCGGGGGACAGGCTGGCGGGGGGCGCTAAGGCAGTAGCGGGGGGGGTAGGAGCACCCCGCACAGCGTTGACATGGTGAGAACAAAAGTGATCCAGGATCCCCAGGGCGTGAAGGGAAGAAATAATCCCCCCCCCCACACACACACACACCCCACCCTGGCAGCCCGGGTGACAAACACAAGGCCTCGGCACCACTCTCCCAGGCGCGTGAGTGCAGCCCGGGTGGGGGGTGCTGAGCATCTGGCGGGACGATTCACGCTCCTGGCCGGCGGAGGATCCGCGGAGCTGGCCTGTTTCGGGAGGCTGGAAAGGGAGCGGGGCTCTGGGTCCAAAACGGCCCCCGCGGGTTCCGCGTCCCTGATAACGCCAGAGGGGAAGGGCCTGGCACGCTTCGGGATCAGTGTCCTTACAGGTAAAGGCACACGCTGGGATATGAGACCACCGAACAGCCCGAGGGAGCCCATACCTGTAATGTGGGGGGAGGGCGGGGAAAGCTGCGTGATCATGGGGGACTTTCCGTCTGAGTGACACATGGGGAGGTCTCGGGCTACCAGAATTAAAGCATGGTTGGAATTTCTAAACCCTGTATGTGACAATTTCATAACTCAAAAAGTGTTGCAGCCAACGCAGAGGAATTCTTTGTCAGATCTTGCTTTACCAGGTGTAGTAGGAAGAGAGCCCTGAGACATGCGCCCTTGTATCAAAGGCCTGGTATAAGGCAGGACCTGCTCGCAGAATCTGGCAAGAACAGGGCTGGTATCGCAGAAATACACATTCCGAACAAGTGCTAGTCACAGAGTACTCACACAAACACGTCCCGATATCAAGGATGGTACAAAAACATTAACAGGATAACAGGAACACACCGACCCCTCCTAAAAGATAAGGTCAGGATGACAGTACGTAACCTGTTTATACGTAACCCAGGGTATAAAGATGTATCTCAGAGGGAGTATCTTTGGCCAGCCAAGGGGGGAATGGATAGTCCTGCCACTAACTGAGCTGTGTCCATTGTCACGGGCACTCATATCTTAGTATCCTCGTAGAGTCTGCCAGGTGCTGTTACTGTGCTTTGTCAACAGTAAACCTGGCCTGGCGCCTTCGTAAACATTAACGGGTCTTGTGGTCATTGGGGGGTTGGTTCGAGGTCTGCTGTGCCGGCTGTCTGCGCAGAGTTGGGGCAGCACACAGAAAGAACACACACGCAGCCAGACATCTGACTACACCAGATAAAGTTGTGAACAGATTTAGTTCTGATCACAGAACTAAAAAGTAATGGTAGCTTAAGTAGAAGCAGTCTTGACTTGATCACATTTATAATGTGCAAGTAGAATAAAATCCAGACCAGTAATATATATACACTTGGTACTTTAATAGGACCAATATCACAAAGCTGAAAACAATTATGAGCCAAATCAACTGTAAGGAAGAATTTAATCAGAAAAAAGTGAACAATAATTGGGAATCATTTAAGAACACCTTACTAGATGTCCAAAAATCCATAATCTAGGAAGAAGGCCATGGTGGGTTAAAAAACAAAAACCTGGTTTAGAGGAGAAGTAAAGGCAGGTGTAAAAAAGAAAAAAGGTTAGAAGAAAGGGGAAGTTGATAGTAATGAATATAAATCAGAAGTTAGGAACTGTAGAAAATTGATTAGGAAAGTAAAGGGACACAAGGAGAAATCTATGACTAGCCGAGTTAAGGACAATAAGGAGGAGTTTTTAAAATATATTAGGAACAAAAAGAATCCTGACAATGGTATTGGTCCATTACTGGATGGATATGGTAGAATTATCCATAAGAATGCAGAAAAGGCAAAAATGTTCAATAAATATTCCTGTTCTGTATTTGGAGAGAAAAACAGATGCTTATACTCTCATCATCTGGTGATGTTAACACTCTTTGCATTCCATTAGTTTCCGTGGAGGATAGACACTTTTAAATCTGCATGTCCAGATATCTTGCATCCAAGAGCTTCCTGAGGCTCTCCCTGGACTGTTCATGTTGATTTTTAATAAGTCGTGGGGCATTGGGGAAGTTCCAGAAGACTGGAAGAAATCTAATGTTGTGCCAGTTTTTAAAAAGGGTAAATAGGATGACCTGGGTAATTGTAGGTTTGTCAGCCTGACCTAGATCCTGGGCAAGGTAATGGAGTGACTGTGACTGACACATTACTCCCCTTTAATTCTTTATTAAGTGAGTCACGTAATTAATGTAAATCAACGATGGGTTTATGGAAAATAGAGCCTGTCAAAGTAACTTGATATCTTTTTTTTTTTTAACCAGATCAGATGTTTGGTTGACAAAGGTAATAGTGTTGACATAGGATACTTAGACTTCTGTAAGGTGTTTGACTTGGCACCGTACGATATTTTGAATTTAAAAAACTAGAATGATATAAAGTTAGCGTGGCACACATTAAGTGGAATAAAAACTGGCTGACTGATAGGTTTCAAAGTGTAATTATAAATGGGGAATCATCATCAAGGGGGTGTGTTTCCAGTAGGGTTCCTCGGGGATTGGTTCTTGGCCTTATGCTATTTGACATTTTTATCAATGAGACGACACACAAATTGGGGGAGCGGTAAATAATGAAGAGAGCAGGTCACTGATTCAGATCAATCTGGATCACTTGGTAAACTGGACACAAGCAAACAATGTGCGTTTTAATACAGCTGAATGTAAACATATATATCTAAGAACGAAGAATGTAGGCCACGTTCCAGGATGGGAAACTCTATCCACCAAATCTCTTTCAGAGTCACTGCTTCCTGGGATAATCAGCTGGACATGAGTTCCCAGCATGAAGCTGTGGCCAAAAGAGCTGATGCAATCCTGGGATGCATAAACAGGGGAATCTCAAGTAGGAGTGGAGAGGTTATTTTGCCTCTGTATTTGGCACTGGTGCGACTGCTGCTGGAATCCTGTGCCCAGGTCAGGTGTCCGCAATTCAGGAAGGATGTTGATAAATTGGAGAAGTTTCAGAAAAGAGCCACAAGAATGATTAAAGGATTAGAAAACCTGCCTTATAGTGATAGACTCAAGGAGCTCCATCTACTTAGCTTAACAAAGAGAAGGTTAAGGGAAGACTTGATCACAGTCTGTAATTATCTACATGGGGAACAAATGTTTAATAATGGGCTCTTCAGTCTAGTAGAGAAAGGTATAACATGATCCAATGGCTAGAAGTTGAAGCTAGACAAATCCAGACTGGAAATAGGGTGTAAATTGTTAAGTGAGAGTAATTAACCATTGGATCAATTCACCCACTGTCTTGATGGATTCTCCATCACTGACAAATTTTTAAATCAAGATTGGGTGTTTTTCTAAAAGCTCTGCTCTAGGTATGATTTTGGGGAAGTTCTGTGGCCTGTACTGTACACGGGGTCAGACTGGATGATTTTGGAATCTATGGTTTCAAACCAGTGGCTGGGGAGTGAAAGGGTTGGTTGGGGGAGAGATGCCGCCCTGCCAGAGTCATAGGGTGGTTATAGATATTTAACAGAGTCTGAACTGCCCCAGGGCGCGTGCCTTGCCCATGCCCTCTATTGAGCTGTGCCAAGAGACCAGCAAGGGGGTGAATCCCACACAGCTTCCCCTCCCCCTACACAAGGCCAGCAGGATGCGTGCCTTGGCTGAGTGGGATTCTTAGCCTAATACAGCCCCTTCCTGTGTGCAGGGGCAGTGGGGTCTGTGCCCTGGTTGAGCTGGAAAGTCCTCCCTCTGTGACTATCAGGAGGGTTTCCCCTCCCTCCCTTTCCTCTTGTGACATGTCTTCTGTTTAATCACAGTTTGTAAAGGCTTGACTGGTCAAAGTCTGACGCGATGGGGGACGAGCTGACCGCAAGGGAGAAATGCCACCTGATCACCCGGAACCTACAGGTATCTCTGGGATGGGGGCCTTCTCTGCACGGTTACTGAGAAGAGAAATACAAAGGGATACTTGCTTCGCTCTACTTATCTAATTATTATTACTTGTGTTGCGGTAGCGCCCCGGACCCCACTGCACCAGGGGCTGTACAGACCCAGAACACAAAGCCAGTCCCTGCCCCGGAAGGCTCCCGATCCAAAAGGTGTCCTGAGGATTGGGGTGCCCCTTGTGCACCCTTCCCTAGACGATTGTGGGGTTTCTATTGTAACCACACTTCTGGGCTTGGTTCCTGCCTCTGCTATACTGTGACCTTGGGAAGCCCCTTAACCTTTGTGCCTCCATTTCCCCAGCCACAGTATAGGGAGAATACTGAGTTGCCTTACGGAGGTTTTTCTTTAGCTCTTGGCTCTTCCATAATGCTCATCTAGTGCCTCACAGTTACTAATGGATTTATCAACTTAGCAGCTCAGTGAGGTCAATAAAGATCATTGTCCCTATTCTGAAGATGGGAAACTGAGGCACAGATAAACTAAACAACTGACCCAAGGATAGAGAGAGCCAGGTATAAAACCTAGATCCCTTGATCCAGAGTTCTAACCGGACAGCTATCCTTCCTCTCCTGGAGTTACGAGCCCAGTGTATCGCGTTCCTTCTCCCATGGCTGTCGTGGTCTCTGCTGGGTCTGTTGTGCTGTGTCACATGCAGCCTCTGGTTTCCTTGCAGGAGGTTCTCGGGGAGGATAAGCTGATGACCATCCTGAAAGAGCGTGATCTGAAGGTATACTGGGGGACAGCCACAACAGGAAAGCCTCACGTAGCCTACTTCGTACCGATGTCCAAGATTGCAGACTTCCTGAAGGCTGGATGTGAGGTACCTGCTCTAACCTAGATGCTGAGACCTTGGGGAGGCCGAAGGCGGAGAAGGGGGGCTTCAGACCCAAAGAGGTCAGGAGCAGGGGATACCTTCAGCTCCAGGCTGGGTGACAGAAAGGAACCTGTAACGCCTCTTATCTATGTGACACCCAGTGTGACGTGCCCAACTCCCCACCCCCCCCCACCCCATTCTGTGCCAGGTGACGATCCTGTTCGCTGACCTCCACGCGTACCTAGACAACATGAAGGCGCCGTGGGAGCTGCTGGAGCTGCGCACACAATACTATGAGACCATGATCAAGGCCGTGCTGGAGAGCATCGGCGTGCCTCTCGACAAGCTGAAATTCATCCGGGGCACCGACTACCAGCTCAGCAAGTGAGTTTGCGGGAGCCTGCTCCTCTCTCAGGGAGTGTTCCTGACCATATATTGCCTGGGGGTGGGATTTGACGGCTACTACGAGGGAGAGGGGACAAGTGGCATGGAAGGAGTGAGCTTTGTGGAGCTGACAAGCTCCACAAAGGAATCCGGGGGTGGAGGAGACAAGTGGGATATTGAGCCAGTTGGGGAATCTGTCTGTTCTGAGCCAGTGTCATTCAGGAAAGGAAGGCGGGTCGGGGGTAAGATATCCACACGCCTGATTTCTCTGCGCTCCAGCCAGTGTCCTCCTTTGCGTGTGGTGGCTATAGAAGAGGAAGGTTTGAAGCTTCCATTTGTCTGGCTTCAGCAGCAGTATCGACCTGTTCTTTCCCTCCAGGGACTACACGTTGGACGTCTACAGGCTCTCTTCTCTAGTCACCCAGCACGATGCCAAGAAAGCTGGAGCAGAGGTGGTGAAGCAAGTAGAGCATCCCTTGCTGAGTGGTCTGCTCTACCCAGAACTGCAGGTACCTTTGGGGAGGGTGGCAGCCACCTGGATGGAATGCATCCCCTTCCCCATGAAGGCTGCAATGCATGCGCCAGGCTAATCACAGTCCCCCTCCCTCTACTGCTGAATAGGGCAGATTTACTTTCTCACTAATCAGCATGAGTATCTGATGTGCAGCCCAAATCTCGAGGACATCACCTGGTGTCGGGGCAGTGCACGGATATAGTGGAGGTTTGGTTGGTTGTTTTTACAGGTGTTTGTACCAGTTGCACAATATCCCTATGTAGCCAGAATGGGTGTGGGATTCCTAGCCCTGACAGCTCGGTAGATTTCTAGGGTGTGAACGCTGAAAGTGTGATGTCAGCTGGGATGTGGGAGTCCACGTGCTGCAGCGTAACGCTTGTGGGTGTGTTCTCCCCACAGGCCCTGGACGAGGAGTACTTGAAGGTTGATGCTCAGTTTGGAGGAGTGGATCAGAGGAAGATTTTCACCTTTGCAGAAAAGGTTAGAACTGGGGAGTGTTTTGAACTTCCAGAAATGTAAGAGGCTCCCCCAGGTGGCTGGTTCCAGGTCTCTGCGTTTGAACTCTGCCTGCAGCTGGATGGCCAGCATGGTCTTATGCACAGTATCTGTGAGGTCACCCAGACCTCTCTTCAGGTTCCTGCTGCTGCCCATCGGTGCACAGTGGCTGCTGATGTAGCTGTTCACAGGGATTCGCTGCCAGGTCAATGTTTGATGCTGGGACCCTGCCTCATGCAGGGGTGACAGTGACACAGCTTTTCCTTCCCCTCTCAGCACCTGATGGTGGCTGTCGCTTGCTGCCCCCAGCAGGTTGCCCACTGGTGTGTGCTGGGAGTGGGTCTGGGCTGACTGGAGAATGGAGCCTCCTCCAAGCAGAGGGAATTGGGATTCAGCAACGTGTTTTGATCCCAGCTTTCTGCACTGGGGGAAGTCTTGAGCCCGGATGCTAGGGGGGAAGAATGCACTGGGGAGTGATGGTGAAAGCTGCTCCTCAGATGGGAGGATGCTTAAATACTTTTAATTCCTTTTCCTCACTTAGTACCTGCCCTCCTTGGGCTATGCCAAGCGCCTCCATTTGATGAACCCAATGGTTCCGGGGCTGACAGGCACCAAGATGAGCTCTTCGGAAGAGGTAGGTTGATGAACCGCATGTCTATGCAGCAATCCCGCAGGGCGAGGCGTTTAACCCTTTGGGGCTGGTAGGCTAAGTCCTGGAACTCCACTGGCTGAGAAAGGAGCCCTCCTCTCTGCTTACTGTTGTTGGTGCCAACTCCAGCACACCCTGCCTCTCCTAGGGCGGAGGTAGGGAAAGATGCTGAGAGCCCCAGAACAGAGACAGCTGACCTCGGAGTTTCATTGCAGGTAGCTTGGCTGTGGAGCACTGAACCCTACAACTGGGCTAAAGTAAAACTCCTCTGTGTCCAGAGTGATACTCAATTAGTGCAGGATTCCAAGTGGCTGCACTGCCTGCTTCTGGTTTCAGCTCACAGGTCTCCTCTTCTCCTCCCACGTCCTAGGAATCGAAGATCGACCTTCTGGATCAGAAGGAGGACGTGAAGAAGAAACTGAAGAAGGCATTTTGTGAGCCAGGAAACGTGGAGAACAATGGCATTCTGTCCTTCATCAAGCACGTCCTCTTCCCACTCAAGTCAGGTGACTGTCTCCATGCCTCAGAGAGGTTGGGGTGCAGTCTTTCAACAGGAGCCCACGCTGGGCGACGTTTGCTTAAATGTAGGCAAGAGGCATGAAAGCGAGCACGTGTTTCTCTGCATCCTAATGCAAGGCACCCCCTCGTGTGCTCCAAAACCTGGCGCTGCCTCCCCCTCTCCCAGAGCCAGAAAGGAGACACCATCCGCTCACAGCAATGACATGACCTTTTCTGGTCCCTGCCGCAATACCCCTCATCAGTTGTTGTGGGGGAGGGGGGCAGTGGGGGTTATTAGAGTTGCCAGTAGGGACAGTGCCTCAGGGATTTGCCTTCATATTGGTTAATCTGACCCTCTAAACCCTCCTTGTGTCACAGAGTTTGTGATATTGAGAGACACAAAATGGGGAGGAAACAAAACCTACACGACTTATGAAGAGCTGGAAAAGGACTTTGCGACTGAGGTAACTCGGGGCAGGGGGCTCGCTATCCACCTCCCTCATGCCCACACTGCTGTATGCTTGGAAAAAACCCTGGAGCGTGCAGAGAGGCCCGTGTTGTTTCCCCTGCCACAGGCTTTGAGTAGTGGGACAAATGTTGATCTCTTGCACCACATGTAAGTCTGTAGGCTCGCCTGGGGCATCAGTAAGGGTAGATTCTGGCCCGGTGAGTGTGGTGGTGCAGGCACCATGATGGTGTGAGGCAGAGACGCCCAGGAGCAGCTAGACAATCAGTGGCTGGTGCAGTACCCGCTCTCTGTAGGTCTAGTCGTTAATGATCTTCCATTTCTGGCAGTGCCTTTCATCTCTAAGCACCCTACAAATTGAGCAGTACACAGATCACTCACGGGGAAATGCAGCCATCTCTGGGTGGGAAAACAGCTGTTCAACAGTGCAGAGCAACGCTGCCCAACAGTTTAGGATAACAAGTGGAGAAGAATCTGTTTCCCATTTAAGCCTCAGGGAAGTTTGAGGGACATGAAATGCCATTATCAAAGCTGGAATTTGACCAGCGTGATGGGGTAATGTCCCTGCTCTTTGCTGGCAGGGGAGGGGAAAATACCATGAGATCTCTAATTACAATGGTGAAGACTTCGGTTTTACATTTCCAGTGCCACAGCGCCTCCTAGCACCACAAAGGAGCGTTGGGTGCAGCACTGACTCACAGGAGAGCATGGCTGAGTCACCAGCCCCACATCCTGCAGCTTCCAGCTATTCCTCTGGGGGGGCGGGTCTCCCATCCAGCTAGCGACCCAGCCCTGTCCTTCTTAGGACGTGATCCTATTAACTCTCCCAGCATAAGTCACTGTGGCTGCCCCACCTTACAGCTTTCAATGACGTACTTGTCTAAATGGGCACAGCCATGCGAAACTGCTCCGCCCTTCCAGCCCACTTCTCCCCATGCCCTGGAGAAAGTCTCCTCCACAAATCTCCTCCTTTTCTTTATTCACGTGGCAGGTTGTGCACCCGGGGGACCTGAAGAGCTCGGTGGAAGTGGCCCTGAACAAGCTGCTTGACCCCATCAGAGAGAAGTTCAACACCCCAGACCTGAAGAAATTGACTAGGGCAGCGTATCCTGACCCATCCAAAGCCAGTAAGTGCATGCCATGAGTTCCCATGGGAGGGGAAGGCCTGGGCTGGGGAGATGAGTCCTACAGGTGGGGCTAAGAGCAAACAGAAGAAATTCTGGAACTTGAATTCCACCAGCAATGACCATGGGTGGCTCAGAGTCTGGGTGATACTGGCTTTGACCTTGCTGTCTGATGCAGCTCTTCTTCCTGCCTCTCCTTAGCCAGCATCTGACTTGGATTGTCCCCAGCAGGGCTGATGAAAGAATGGCCTATGGGCCATGTGCCTACCCCAGAAACTACAGATCCCAGCATGCAGTGTTCCATTTCTATTGGAGCTGCAGTCAAGCTGGAACAGTGCATGATGGGACCTGTGGTCCCCACAGGCTGTATTAGAGATGTGGGTGGCTGCAGTCTGCTTGATTTATATATGAATTGGGTGCTGCTGGCAAACCAGAGACAGTGACCCTTGTCTGGACAGAATTCAGGTTCTCCTGGTCCCTGCACCCCTTCCACAAATGCACCTTCACTCGTGGCTGGGTACAACTCTTCTCAGGGCAGGCTGGTTTCACTCTTTTGCACATGCAGAGGCTTCAGTGAAAAACTCCACCAAGAATTCAAACCCTGAGGACGTGATCCCGTCCCGGCTGGACATCCGTGTTGGCAAAGTGATCAGTGTGGAAAAGGTACCAATGCTTTAGCAAGGATCCTGTGATGGGAGAACAGGCATGGAAGAAAGGGGGGGAGACAGTGGTTTTCAAGGAAAGTAAATCCTTCCAAGCTAGGCAGAAAGTGTTAACACTCTCCATATGCTTAGCTCTAGGTTTGCTCTGCAGGAGCTGCACCTTGGAGCAGTTCTTCCCTCGGGTTTCTGAAAGCTCTGTGCCTGGGAATTCCCCATACAGGAGGCACTGGGCTTGGGAAGCAATGAGATTAGTAACTGAGCCCTGACCCCAAAATACCATCTCTTTGCTGCTTGGTACCAGAATAGGGTCCTTCCCAGACTGATATGGGGGCAGTGGTTTGGTAACATATTAGATGACAGTTTTTCTCCACAGAGCTGTTTAATTATCAAGGCTTAATGAGCTCACCAGGTGCTGGGAAATGGACCTTACCTTTCATTAGTGGTGGTCACTCTCTGGAGCGCAGCTGAGCAAGGCGGGTGGGGATCTAGAAATGATCACCTGCTGTGTCTAAACTGGCGGAGTGTTTGAGCAGAGATGGTGTTGCAGGGGAGACCTGCCACCAAATGGCACGCTTTCCCTGAAACAGCTCTGTACTGTTAACACAGCAAGGTTGACCTATGGAACTCACTTCTGCAAGACTTTGAGGCGAATAACTTAGTTTAAACAAAAAGATCAGATGCTTTAACGAATGAAAACATCACTGCAGTCACACAGCACGGGACTAACCAAAGCAAATTACCAAGGCCAGTGATCATGATGCTTCAGTGCTTCGGGTGATCAGCTGCTGGGGTCAGGAAGAAATTCCCTGCTCCCTGAAACTCTTCATTAGCGGAATAGTATTGTAGAGAGGGGACATATCCCCAAAGGCAGCCAGCATCAGCCCCTGTTAAGGTCCTGGACTAGATGAGCCAGACAATGGTTACATTCTCCTGTTCATCTCATTTGATGGCAAGCAGCTATCCAGGAAATTGCCCCATGGGAAATTCTCCCTCTTGGCACTGTCAGTTGCTTCCTCCTAGCCTGAGATGAGGAGGGAGGCAGCCAGTGAGGAGCAATGGGGACAAGGATTTGGATCATCCAGAAGTGGAGGCTGCTCTGGGGTCTTGTTTCCTCATGGAGTGACTCAAGCACTCACTTGGAGGGCGTATGTAAACCACATGGGCACCTTCCTGCTTGTGTGTGCTCTCAGCCCCCCTTCCTGAGGGATGACCGCTCCCGGCTTCTCAGCTGTACCTGCACTGGCATTTGCATTGGCAGCACCCTGATGCCGACAGCCTTTACCTGGAGAAGATTGACGTGGGCGAGCCTGAGCCACGGACAGTGATCAGCGGCCTGGTGCAGTTGGTGCCGAAGGAGCAGCTGCAGGACAGGATGGTGGTGCTGCTGTGCAACCTGAAGCCCCAGAAGATGAGGGGAGTGGAGTCCCAGGGCATGCTGCTGTGTGCTTCCAGGTGAGGGCGTGCAGGGGGTAGGGATAGCAGGGGTGATGAGGCTGAATTTCAGTTTGTTTTCCATATAGGGCAGGAGGGGAGAATACAGCGTAGTCCCCCACAACATCCAGGCTGCCTGTTGACCCCTGGTTCTTTGCTGTCCTATCTCGGGGGAGGATTAGGACAGGCCCCTTCTTTGAGGTCCTAGCTGGTCACTCCCTCCCCCTTTCCCCGTGTGTTTCTCCGCAGCGTGGGGGAGCCCCATCAGGTGGAGCCCCTGGACCCGCCAGCGGGCTCCTGCCCAGGAGAGCGTGTCTACGTGGAAGGCTACGACAGCGGGCAGCCTGACGACGAGCTCAAACCCAAGAAGAGAGTCTTCGAGAAGTTGCAGGTAAGAGGGGGAAGAGAGTCGTCTTGCTCACAATGGGGCTGTTGGGGACGGGGCCCATCTCTGCAGTCAGAGCCCTATCTGCTCTGGCAGCTGAGCTCTCTAGTCACCCAGGCAGCCTACGCCGGTCCTGTCACAGCTTCATGGGAGGCTCTCAAAGCGCTTTACGGCCCCTGCATGAGACAGGGATGTCGTCCCTCTTTCCAGGTGGGGAGACTGAGGCACACTGCATGAAGGTGACTCACGTGAGGTCCCACAGAGGGCAGAGCAGAGCCTAGAACAGGAGTCTCGAGTCCTGTGCTCTATCCCCCCTGCCTGGGGAGTAGACGAATACAGCTGGCACTGTGCTGTCTAATCCTTGCTAGCCAGGCATCTGCCAGCTGTCAATTGACTGGCAGTGAGGCTGGGGTAGGCCAAGAAGGCAGCTATTGGCAGAGACCTGTTTAGACCCAGTCCATCTCAGGGGGTCTTGTTACCTAGCAGCTGGCAGGCTGTCGCCACTACAAAGGGGACATAAGGGCAGTGGTCAGAGAGGGCAAGTGGGAGTCAGGACTCCTGGGTTCTCTTTTCTGCTCTGCCACTTACTTGCTGCACGGCTTTGGGCAAGGCACATTCCTGCTCTATGCCTCGGTTTCCCCAATGTAAAATGAGGAGCAGGGTATCTTGTAGGGAGGTTAGGAGGCTACGCTCATTGCTTGGAAAGCACTTGGGGATCATCTGGTGAAAACAGTGACAGAGGGGAGTTACAGCACGGGCTGCCTGTGCTGCCATTTTGCTTCACTATTGGTGCCTACAGTGAGGGTTACGGGCCCCCTTTGCCCTTAATGTGAGTTACATGGCGGCATTCCCTGTTAGACCTTTAGCTGGCATGCCCTCCTTGGGCCTGGCAGGAGTAGGGTGCCTGTCCCCAGGGATTTGAGAGGTGGTGAGGGCCCCAGACAAGGATTCCCAGCTGCATGTGCGATTGGCTAGCCAGTCCAACACATCACCCCCCTGCCTCTTCCCAGGCTGACTTCCGGATCTCTGAGGACTGTGTCGCCCAGTGGAAGCAGAAGAATTTCATGACTAAGCTGGGGAACATCTCGTGTAAAACACTGAAGGGCGGAAACATCAGTTAACAAGTGCCAGCCCGTCCCTCTTGTCCTCTCCTCACCTGTTGTCATCCACTGCTCCATTTTGGGTTCTCTTCCCCCAACTTCCTCCACAATCGCTGCAGGGCCACGCTCCCCCCACTGCAGCATGCCTCTAAGTGAGGGAGCTTCGGCCCAAAGCACCTGGGGCTCAGAGGCTGAATGTGCGAAATGCAGTAGATGGTTCACACCTTGTAACTGAACTTAGGTAGGTTCAGTGGAGAACTCGCCTCCAGAAGCAACCTGTTTCCCTTTGAGCTGCCATGGACCTGTTCCCACCCAGCTGATCTCTGGAGAAGGCCAAGCATGACTCAGGGGGACCATGTAGCTCCTGAGCCCCCAGCAGGAGCTAGGGCTGCAGCCAGTTGTCTGTTTCCCCTGTGAGTCCTCCTACGTGCGGCTCTCCTGACGTGTCTGAAACAGGGGTAACGCTGTGATTGTGTAAAAGCACGGGCTGTCATCTGACTTTCTGTGGGTGGATTCCAGCGGCTTTGAAGGTTGCACTGGAACGGGCTGGCAGCCTGACCGGCAGCTGCTGCTGTTGGAAAGCTCTGGTAATTTTGGGAAGAACCTGTGTAGTTTGTAACAGGGGAAGAGGGACTGCGTGGCATCCTGTGTAATGACCGTCACCCTGCAGCTGCCTCAGCCCCACATGCGCTTGGTGCAGGGCTTGAACTGTGAAGACGATGGGGCTGGGCCTGTGGAGGGCACGCAGGGCTCTCTAGATGCTCACGGCTGCTCTAACAGGCAGCAGGGCTGCTCTGGCAAGCCTGTCCCTGGGCTTGCAGAACAGGGTTTTGGCACTCAGCCCATGGGGCTGCAGGTGGGGGTCCTCTCCCTTTAGTGTTGAATCTGAAATCATCCATCAATTGTTAAAAACCCCAATAAAGTGTGAAACTGACCTGAGGCTTGTGTGGTGGGGGATGGGACTGTCTTGCTGGAGCCAACAGCCGGATCTTAGAACGTGCAGGCAGGATTAACTGCGCTGAGCCCCCTGCCAGCCTGGGAACTCTGAGTCCTCTCCCCGGAAAGGTCTGGTGCAGGCAGGGGCCTGCCTCTAGGGGCAGGAGGGGAGTTCTAGCCACTTCTTTCCTTCTGCTGAGCCATAGCCCAACTGCAGCGCAGAGTGCTGTGGACACCTGTCCTCCAGCACTCGCTGACTCCACCCCGGCTCCCCTCAGCTGGTTCCACCTTTCAGACTATTACTGAGTGGATTTGTTTGCCTGGGGAGACACTAGAACCTTTGTCAGCAGCAGAGGCTACTCCTGCTCCTTCTTTCGCACGGCGACAGGGGACCTGTGAAAGCAACGGCATGACTGCAGTTGGACCTTACGGTCTCTTATCCCGTGCAGAGCAGAGGGGGTAGCCACGTGAATGGCTGAAAGACCTCCAGGAGGAGCATGGATCGGGCAATTGTCCATCTGTGAACAGGTTTCAGCGCTGAGGGGGTTAACCCCTTGGACAACTGGGAGGACAGTTGGTTGTCTCCTGCCAGTTGCTTGATCCCTGCTTCAGGTGAAGTTTTACACTGCCACCCTCCAGGGGGGTAGCTGGGCACCTTCCATGTAAAAGCAATAGCTGAGGCCCTTGTGGACTCCAGCAAGGTTCTGGAACTTCTCCCTCGTTAGGGTGAAAAACTAAACAGCTTGTGTGTCTGTCTGGGTGACTCATCTGTTCCAGGCTTTTGGGGAGGAGGGGTGAGTTATGCAAATAGGGGTCTCCCTGTTGTCACTCCAGCCACCCTGGAGGAGGGAAACCCCCGACTGTTAGCCAAGAAGCAAAGGAGACAGCCAATTTCAATCATCATCTTTAACCAAAGAGAGACAGAGCTTGTAACTGTTACTCTGCAGCTTCTCAAGGCAGATGGTTTTTACAATCAAGGAAATCAAAGCATGACCCCATGTTTAAAGAAACAGAAATCAAGGTGCCTGGTTCTAGAGACCAGGGATGAATGTAAAACTCAGGCTTTTGGTCTCATTTAATGCTGCATCCAGTGTCACTCCCTGCTACAGGGTATCTGAAAAGCTTCTCCCTCCCCCAGGGCTGTCTGTGTACACACAGGGCCTGGCTGGGGTGAGGGCACAACTCTGAAATTACAGAGCATGAGGGCAGTGGAATCTCTCAGGGTAGAGATTATGGAGCTTGGAGAGGCCTCAGTGTCCAGATTCTCCTCCCTTGGACCCAGAAGGCTGGCAGTGTGGGAGGAAGCCCTTCCTTCTGTCCCAGACAGGCCCTGGCTGGTTGCAGCTCAAGGGTAATCGCGCCCTGCAGTGACTGAGTCCTCCCCTGCACTTCCTGCCGAGCGCCCCAGACTCACAGGGCAGCAGCTTGGGGCTTGTGCTTTCGAACAGCCCAAAGAAAAGGGGGCTGAACGCTCCCCTAAGGGGCCACTTGTGGCTAACCGCAGCTTTGCAGGGCCCTGAGATGGGCACTGCAGGCTGCCTGCCTGATTAACTGCTTGCTTGGCTATAAATCCCTTTCCAGCTCCTCAGCCAGCAAAGCTGTAGCTCAGAGGTAGGCAAACTATGGCCCACAGGACCCTCCTGCCTGGCCCCTGAGCTCCCGGCTGGGGAGGCTAGCCTCCGGCCCCTCCCCTGCTGTCTCCCCTCCCTCGCAACCGTGCCATGCGGCCAGCGCAACACACTGGGCGGCTGGGCAGTGCGGCTGCAGAGCTGTGGGCTGACCCGGGGCTCTGGGTGGCATGGGTGTAGCGCTGCCAGCCACCGGTGCTCCAGGCAGCATGGGAAGGGGGGGGTTGGATAGAGGGCAGGGGAGTTGGCGGGGGGTGGTCAGAGGGTGGGGAACAGGGGGGTTGGATGGGGCAGAGGTCCCGGGGGCAGTCAGAAAGGAGAAGGGGCATTGGATGGGGCAGCAGGGGACAGGGAGTGGTGGATGGGGCAGGAGTCCTGGGGGGGTCAGATAGGGGGTGGGGGCTGGGACACGCCTGGCTGTTTGGGGAGAGACAGCCTCCCCTAACCGGCCCTCCCTACAATTTTGGAAACACAACGTGGCCCTCAGGCCAAAAAGTTTGCCTGCCCCTGCTGTAGCTTGAGCCTCAGCAGCATGTAACATGAAGCAGCGTGAGCCTGGTTTGTTCAGCTCCCTCGGGACTGGCAGTGGGATCCTCCTAAGCCCTGCTTCTCCCTGCCCCCAAAAGAACTTCCCAAGGAGCCCTTGCGGGCCTGCCCCATCCCCACCTTCTCAGAGCACGGCACAGCCAAAGGGACAGTAGAGCCAGTCAGGCGGGGCCCCCCCCACAACACACTAGGGTCCAAGCACTGCCTTGGGGTTGCTCCCTTGCCCAGCTGCGTGGGTGGGGAGGGCCTTGTGCCTACACACTACCACTGGCCCCAGGGAACTTACGCGTCTCCCCTGCCGGAGCAGCAGAGGTAGGGAGCCTGCACTCACGAGCACAGGAGGCCAGGCTCACACAGCACGTCCCCTCTGGCACCCTGGCCTTGCCTGCCCACTGTCCTGTAACAGCCCTAAAGAGCGAGGGGACAGCAGCCAGCCTGACACAGGAGGAAGCTGGGCCCTGGCCACCTGCGTTGTCTGCTGTAGGAGCTCGGAGGTCTTTAGCAGCCTGGGCCCCATTTCCCCTCCACTCTCAGCCAGGGCCTGTTCAGCACAGACTCACCCCCCTGCATGTTCTCAGTGAAGTGGTCCTCGAGCGTGGGGAGGCCACCCAGCAAGACAGAGGCCTTTACCGCACATCGGCCAAGCTGCTGCCAGCCTCCGCGCGCCTCAGGCCTGGTGCTGTACCTTTCCAAAGCTAGTCGGGGCATATCTAGCACCACACAGTGCGTGTCCTGGAACACGAGGAGAGAAGATCCCCTGCAACAAAGCTGGCAAAGGAACTCCTTGGCCAGCCAGCCATGAAGTCCGTAGCATTGGGGACGCGCCTTCAGCTTCTTTTGAAGAGGTGCTTTGATTTCATGCCATCTCAGGTGCACAGAACAGAGCCGATCCTCTGCGCCGTGGAAAAACAAGTCCCCAGCCAGGCTGTCTTCTCCCCACCCAGGAGGCCATGCTTCAGGTGGTGCAGTGTGGTCTTATAAAAACACCCCCCGACACACGCCTCACAGCGGCTTCTCTGCAGCCTTCCCTCCTGCACCAACAAAACCGGCAAATCCAGCGGGTGAAGGGCAAGGCACTGGACTCCAGGACAGGGTTTGGTTTAGTTTTTTTTTTTTTTTTTTTTTAAAAAAAGCACAATAAAGCTGTATTATTGAAGAAAGTGAAACCAACACCAGTTTTTGCATAAATATCAAGGCCATCAGAGGCTAAGGCTGTTTGCTTCCATTTAGTCAGTCATGCCAGCTCCACGCTCATCCTTTCACCTGCTCAGGTCCCTGAGAGAGATTTGTATTCCTGGAGGTCAGGGCACAAGCACAGCAGCGTCATCCTTCAGGCTGTCTCTTCCCGTTTGTCTGCAGGAAAAGGAGAGCAATTCCCGTCAGAGCCGGGCGGCGCTCAGGTGGGGTGACAGCTGCTTCACATCCACCCCAGCCTCCTGCCCGAGCTTTTTATACTGAGCCCAGCACACTGAGCAGCATGGGTTACAGGCTCCCCTCTGTCTGAGCCACGGAACGGCTGTGCCCGTTACAGAGCTGGGGGCTCTAGGCCCTGCTCTTAGCTCTGGAAGCCCCTGGTTCAATCTTGGGGTCAGCCAAGAGGGTGGCCACCTCCTGACGCGGCTGGTTTCTAAAGCTGAAGAGCCTGGGCTTGTGCAACCCCCCTCAGCCACGGTTTTATTGCCCCAAGAGCCAGAGTTACCTCCTAGCACGTCAGCCTGTTTCCGAGCAGCTTTGAGCCAGGTTGTTTCTGGACTGACTGATGTTTAGATAGAGGGATGGGGTCAAACTGGGCCAAACAGCCAGCGCTAGTGCGGATCCTAACAGGGCTACGTTTGTTCCTCGTCTCCCTTTGATTCAGGCATTAGGAGATGGGTCAGAGAAAGTCACAATTCTCCCCACCATCCCTGCCTAGCACTAAGCTGTTCTCCAGAGGGTTCCATCATCATCCTCTGTCTTGTTTTCTAGCCCTGTTCCTGCTGGTAGAGAGACAGGGTGAGTGCAGGACAGCAGAAGAGTTATGCGGGAGGAGAGCTGCAGTGGAGGGGAGGAGGGGCTGCAGGTTGGGATTGGGGTGCATTAACAGCTGAGAGTGGAGTGCATTGACAGCTGCAAGTGGGGGGTTGCAAGTCAGAATTGGAGTGCATTGACAGCTGTGAAGGGGCTGCAGTTTGGGATTGGCATACATGGACAGCTGTGAGTGAGGGGCTGCAGGTCAGGATCACTGTTCCCTCTAAGCTGTGGGCATGTGCGTGCACACACAGATCCTAAACCCCGCACACACGGCGAAACACTGCACGCACAAAAATTTGCACAGAAGCTCAATTTGCACAGAAGAAATTTTTTGCACACATGGCCTGTCAAAAATTAGAGGGAACATTGGTCAGGATTGGGGTGCACTGGCAGAAATGAGAAGCTGCCTGGCTCCTACACTACCCTGTTACACCCTGCATTTTCCAATCGGCACCTCCTCTCCCACACTCCCCAATCCCTCTGTACCTTGTGCAGGGGGATTCTGCGATGGCGTCTCTGGGCCTGCCAGGTGCCCGGCTCTGTTGCTCTTGGCTGCGGGGGCCGCGTTCACAGACAGTTCGCTCTTAGTCCTGTTCTCTTCGGCCGAGGGAGCCTTTGCTTTACTGTCTGGTAGGGAACAGTTCAGCACTTCCTCCCCCTGCGGCTTTGGGCTCACAGGTGACTGACGCTGCCCCATGCCAAGCGAAGGCTTCCTGGCTATGGGAGGTGGAATCTTGCTGGACTTCCTCTGTGCTTGTGACTTGCCAGGGGGCACCTGGCCCTGCTGGGTCATTGCTGGGACTGTGGAACGCTGCCCGGAGAAATTCATCAGCTCAGCTACCAAGTTCCTCTTCAGGTCGGCCTGAGCCTCCGGGGAAGATGGGGTCTCTATGACCAGCTTCTTGGAGCTCTTGGCGAAGATGAAGCTGGCGGTGGAGGCAGGTGATTTGTGGATGGGGGACACCTGGCCGTCCTTGGCATCCCCAGCGGTGGGCTCCAAGCCAGAGGCCGCGTGACCTGGGAGAGTCAGCTTGTTGCCATTGGTCCTGTCCACCAGTCTGGAGGTCGGGGCGTCTCTGGAGGACAAGGTGGAAGTCTTCAGCCGTACGGCATTTTGCAGCTGGTTCAAAGGCACGGTGTCTTTGGAAGAAGGGGACTGCCGCAGGGACAGCGACTTGCGGATGGGTTTCTGGGGGACAGGCTGAGCCTGCTTCCCTAGGCCATCGGCGCCCTGTCCATTCTGGCCAGGCGTCTGCTTGCCCGGGCCGGCCGGCGCGTGAACGCTGACCGAGCGCAGACGCACCATCTGCAGCAGGGAGGGAGTGACGATGGGGAGGTTAGCGTCCTCCTTTGGCGTGGGGTTGCTCTTACTTCGAGAGACAGGCTCCTTCTTAGGATCCAGCCGGGAGCCATTCGTTGTCTTCTTCAGGCTTGCTTGAGGCTGGAGAACCATGGGCGGGGCTGGAGCCGCAGGTGCAGGGGGTGGGGCTGCAGCCACTGCAGGCTTGGGCTGGCTAGGCTGCAAGCTGGGTGTTGCTCCGGCTGATGTGGGCACGGTGATCAGCATGGGCAACTCCACGGCGGGAGCTGGCAGTGTTGATCCAGCCAACAGGCCCTGGTGCTGCTGAATCCTCAAGGAGACTTTGGTGGAGAACGCGAGCGAGGCTGCCCCTGGACCATCCCCCGTGGGTGCTGCTTTCAGGCTGGCCGGCTGCTCTGAGCCCGTGGGCTCTGGCTGGGCTGCGACAGAGGAAGACACCGCGGCAGGGAGAGGCTCTGGCAGGGTGGAGAAGCTGGCCTCGTCTGGAGGAGGGAAGTCCGCCATGGACAGATCCTGCTCGTCCAGCGCTGGGGGGGGAGGTGGGGGCCACGAGGGGTCCTGAGGCACCTCCTGAGTAGTCTCTGAGTGGGGGGCCTCTGGGCTTGCCTCACCCTTTTTCACTGGTGGTGGTGGAGGATGGTAGGGAGGTGGAGGAGATGGAGGGGGTGACCTGCTAGTGGGCTTGGGAAGCACCGAGGGCTCCTGGATGGCCATGCTCGGGGCAGGGGAGGAGACAGCGGGGCTGGCAGAAGGCGCTGCCTGCCGGAGTTTGACAGGCGGGGGGGAGATAGGGGCCAGCACCTTGGGGTGAGGAGGAATAATGAACCCGTCCATTCTACTCTGCAAGGAAAGGGCCGGGCCAGCTGGGGGCGCCACGGTCTCTGCAGGGGCTGGGTCGGAGGTGGAGGAGGATAAGGATGCCAGGGAGGAGGAGATGGACAGCACAGGAGACTGCAGCGAGCAGACCCTCTCCGGTTTCTTTGGCTGGGGCCTCCTCTTTCCTGGAGACGAGGCGTGAGAGCCAAGCCCTTTGGTGGGGAGGGTAGGGGTGCCGCTCTGACTCGAATAGCCACTGGAGGGCGACATGGTGCGCTTGAATCCCTCGGGGGAGCTCTGCCTGGAGGGGGCCTGCTGCTCCCTGAGGATGACGGCCACCCCCTCCACCTCCCTCTGGAGCTTCTCCCCCGGCACCGGGCTGCACCGGGACACGTCGGGGGAGCTGGCGTCAGCCGAGTAGGCCAGGCTCTCGGAGCGGATGCTGCTGGTCTCACTCAGCGAGCCAGGCGAGAAGACCTCGTCCTCGCCCAGGGGGCTCTGGCTCTCCAGGCACGGTGTCCACGGCTCACGCTGGTGTCGGGGATCTGGCTTAGGGGGCAGGCCCAGCACTTTCTGCCCCCCCTCGCCCACCGCTTGCTGCTGCTCAGCCCTTTGGTGCAGGGAGTGGGTCCTCCTAGGGGGCGCCGGCGGTTTCCTCATTTTCCTGAGGGACACGCTGCGCGTGGAAGAGCGGTCGCTCCTCACGCTCACGGTGTCCGAGCTGCCCGCCATGCTGCCGGTGCTGTACGCGGGGGAGGCCCTGCCACTGCTGCCCCCCAGCCCCGCTGCCAGCAGGCCGTGGGCTGTGTAGGCGGGCCTGGCCTTGGCACAGGAGTTGGTGCAGCTCGCGGCACTGTAGACACTGAGCTGGTCCGTGTCGGACCGGCCTGCCGTATCCGCCTCGCTGGGCGGCCCAGCCCCCCCCTTCCTGCTGTCGGAGCCGCCCTGCGAGGAGATGGTGGAGCTGTCGGACACTATGGTCTCCGTGGACTGGGAGTGGCTCCAGTTGTCGCTGGAGGAGGAGTGCTCCCGGCTGCGGCCGCCGGGCTCCGAGAAGCGGGCGAGGGAGCGGACTGAGGCTGGGCTGGAGGAAACCAGGCTGCAGCGGCTCAGCGTCCGCACGCTGCTCCTGCTCAGCGCGATGACGTCCACCATGGGGGGCAGGACGGCGTTGGGAATGATCTTGGACATGTAGGTGGCCTGGGGGGAAATGGACATAACAGGGCCCAGCAGCTCCGGAGGAGGGCTGGCGTTGGTGGTCATGCCCGGCACAGCCAGTGACTTCGGCCTCAGCAAGGGAGACAGCTTGGCTGCCGTCCTCCTCCCCAGCAGCATGTCGTCATAGTAGACGCGGTTGATGTGCCTCTGGATGGCTGCGTCTGACTCTGCCTCCTCCAGGGCTTGCAGGGATATGCGAGCGCCGCCCTTGGGGGCTGGTGGGGGCTGCAGGTTTCCATTGATGGTGGGGATGTGGATTGTGCCACCGTCTGCCTCGTCACCATTCACCAAGGGCTGGGATGCCATGCTGGGGGGGCTCCCGCCCTGCCTGGGGCCGTCTCTGGGGGAATCACTGCCAGGGCGTTTCCTCAGCTCGTGACTGTTTCTCAGACCTGAGGGTGGATAGGAGCAAAACCCGTATCATTATAAACCGATCCTGGCGGGCAGGCAGCCCTTGCTGATTGCATACAGGGGTTACTATGGGCTGGCAGGGCTCACTTAATCAACGCTGGCCAGGCCGGGGCCTCAGTGCAGCTCAGTCCGCCTGTTCTCTCCCTGTGACACCCAGGAGTTCAGACTCCTGAGGGCTGTAATACCATGGTCTGCTTCTGCTTGTCGGGCAGGGTGTGACGCGGCTGGATGGGGTGAGGGCCTCTGCTACACAGGAGGTCAGATCGGGGGCTCTGGTGGTCCCTTTTGCCTTACACTCTGACTCCTCCCCGCCGCCCCTTGGACACTCCACTGCTAAAGGGGTGGCAGGGGGACCTCTAGGAATAAGCCAGCTCCTAGCCTGAGCCGAAGCTGAAGTCTCAGCAGGGAGAGAACTCTGGCTCACTCATGCACACGGAGCAGCCACTGTTCCTGAGCTCTCCCTCCAGCAAGGCCCATCTGCCCTCCTTACCCAGCTCTTTCTGGACATGCTGGGGGATGCCCAGCACCGTCGTCCTCCTCTCCTTCCTCCTCTTCCCTGCCTTCTCTGAGGATTTGGGGAAGGAGTCGTGAGGCCGGAAGGTGGAACCTGAAATGCAATTACGATGAAATAAAGTCCCAGACTGGTAAGCAGGGACCAGCCACTGTGACGTCGCCCGCCCACGGTCTGCGCCTCTGTAGGAACACAGGCCCACATCAGACCTAAGTAAACAATGGTTTTAAACTGAGGTTGGATTTTACCATAAGTGAGAGGCCCCAGGTCTGTGACCAAAAAGACTGAGACCATAAGAAAGGGGAACTGTTTGTGGTAAACTTGTAACAACCCTGGAAATACCAGGTATCTTATTTAAGGGTTGGGCCAAGCACTAGAAATAAAGAAAACATGGGTAATTGGGCACCAGGTGCAGCGAATAATTGGCAGGAAATGCTTAGTCCAGTAGCAGGGGAAAATATGGCAAAGTGAGATAAGAAGAAAACCTTGGAGAAAGCAGAGTGCAGCTCTCAGCTGCTATAGCCGAGTTTAGTGAAGGTCCAATAACCAGCAATGCCGTCGCTTGTTTGTTACAGAGCACAAAATGCCCCGCGTTCTAGGCCTGCTTTGTCAGAGCGTTCCTTACCCCTCTGGAGCCATGCCATGATGGGAAGGCGTCTCCCAGGTCTGAACCAGCTGTAAGTATCTTGGCCAATGCTTGCAAATGGACTGTAGCTGGGTATCGAATATAAGGCTGTTTATGTTTATATTGATACTTTGGATGTAATCAACACCGAGTAGCCATTGGGGCTAACGAAGGAATGCCTGCGTGGAAACTGAGTCCTGGTAAACCTTGACAAAACTATCAGGGAAATGATCTCCCACCATTCCGGTGTCATTCTGCCAGGAGTTCTCCCTGCTACTGCCCTAGAGCACAGTCCAGCCCCAGTGCAGGGGAGCCAGGCTCAGGACGACCAGTGGAGCCCTGACAGCTGTGTGAGCATACAACGAACATCTGCACAATCTATTGGGAGTGGCAGCTACCCTGGGCAGAGCTTGGAAGAGTACTACCACTCCCTGCCAGCGGCCCTGCCCTAATCCCGGAACAGTCCCTCCCCCCATCTCAGCTGCAACCTCTGGCCCAAAGGGCAGGCTTGATGTCCCTTGTGGAATCACCCAGCAGTCCTCAGGCCACCCAAACCCCAGCTCACACGTCTCGGCTGGATTTTGTGCTTCACTCTCGCCAGAGCAGACTGCTGAGATGGCTCTCCCTCCCCAAAACTCCCACCCCGCCCGTGGCTAGTACCTTTCCTCTGGATCATCTCCGAGCGGATGGAGAGGGCATCCTCGGAGGCATTCTCCGTTGTGCACGACTGGGTCCTGCTTCGGAAGGAGATCTCATCCTCCTCCGTAGAGGTGTGGGAAGACTGCATGGGGAGGAGAACAGGTTCAAATAAGTCCTGAGCCTTATAGGAACAGATGCCTCCCTCCTTGTGCAAGCCGCTCCCCAGCATCAGAGTCCCCCAACTGGGCCCCTTCTCAGCCAGAAAGTGACTCAGCAGCTACGCACTCTGAAGACATAAAACTTCTCGGAGGCCCAGTGTTATGAGTCAGCCCCATCTGCATGCAGGCAGAACCCTCCCAACTAGGAAATGGGGCCAGAGAGGGCAGGCGGGAAAGCCCTCTGCCCCAGGTTGCGTTCAGCCAGCCCTTGGGCCCCCTTGACAGAGAGGGCCCAGCAAGAGGGAATGAATGCCCAGCAGTGACCTGACCTGGCACCAGATGGCGCTGCCTACTTCACCTACCCGTGAAAATGAGCCCTTAGCAGCGAGTGGCCAGCTGCAGTTGTCTGACTGGGGATGCACTGATTGCAGTTGAATTTAACCTGGCTCCCAAGCGAAGTGCAGCCAAACTGGCATAACCCTGATGTGAGCCAGAAGGAGAGTTCCACCCAGCCCTCGGCACCACTACGTGCACCCTGAGCTTCCCGGATTTCATCTCTTTCTGCCCAAGGGAGGGGAGTGCCTCTCGAACATGCCAGATGGGAATGAGGGAGCAGCCTGGCTGTAGATGATTAGGAAGGGCATTGGGAGGGATGCAAACAATTGCACAGCGGTGGAGCTGCAATTTGCCGCAGCGGGACCCCAGAGCCCCCTCCCTGGGTGAAACAGCAGCTCAAAATCCCAGCTGGCAAATGGGCAGCTGCATTTGCCAGCAACACCCTGCAGTTTATTTCTGCTGCCTCTCTCTGAAAACCACCACGCTGTCCATCTTCCCCTCCTCTTCTCTGTGCCTCCTCCCTCCCCCATCTACACACTCACGGGCATTAAGGCTGCTAGCTCGCAGCCCAGCGCTGCATTGCTCTGCTAGAGCTTTGTCCAGTCTCATTTCCAACATCGCCAGCTCTGGGGCTCCCCCAAATTCCCTTGGGAGACCGTTTCATAGCCCAGCAGACCCTATCTGTGGGAAATACATCCTGACATTCAACCTACATTTTCCTTGCTTGATAATATGGCAACCAAATCAATGGTCTGCAGTTGGGGTGTCTGCAGCCAATATGAATAGTCTTGTCGTTCAAGCTGGGAGTCACGAGATCTGGGCTCCATCTCCAGTGGCTTAATTGGCTGGCCTTGGCCAAGTCACTTACCTGCTTTCTGCCTCAGTTTCCCCATTTTGCAAAGCAGAGATGATAATCCCTCTCTCACAAGGCATAGCGAGCATTATGCTGCCGAAGACAAAGGTACCCTCCACTTAGCCTCTGCCCAGCTGGATACATTTAGATGAACCATGCCAGCATATGAATCATATTTGCTGCTCTTCTCCAAATTCCCTCAAACATTTGATATGGAGGAGTTCAGAACCTGCCCCACAGGGCTCTATCTGAGGTACTGTGTAGGACAGAGGTCTCAGGTTTGCCTTCCCCAGTGGCTCTGTCTGCCCTACTGAGTTACAGTCTCACTTCTCAGCTTTCTGCCTCTCGTAACCCCTTTGGTGGCAGATTGAAAGCAAAAAACCAGACAGTCAGCTGTTGGAGCAAATACAGGCAGTGAGGCTCTAGGAGTGGGAAGGGCGTGGGCGGAGGAGGGTCAGAGGCCCAGAGACAGGCTGAAACCAAACTTTGGCCAAAGGGGTGGGCATTTTTTGGCTGTTAGAGACTGGGGAGGATCTGTGGACATGGGGCCAAGTGGGTCACAGTTGGGCAGGCCCTCCCCACCACTTGTTACTGCCAAGATAAACCTAAGGGAATAACTCCAGTGAACGGAAAAGTATGCATCAGGACTCAGCCCTATCAGCTCATACGTCCTGCTGCTTCTTAGTGCCACAGCATCTGATTGCATCTCTCAGCTCCTTGTGTCCCTCCTGAACCCCCAGGGTTTCCCTTCCTCGGCCATCGCCCCCTAAAAGCTGCTTGCCAGGATGCTCCCTCACTGCCAGGCTCTTTTAGACCCAGCGTGAGTGGGAAGGCACCCAAGAGACAATGTTTCGGGGATGCCCAGGCCTTCCCCATGATGGGGGGGGGGGCACCCAGGAACATTCCCCGCCCAGCACTGTACCTGCCCCCACTGCAGGGGCAATGACTGCTTTGTGTATCAGCAGAGTGCACTGCATGCCAACCAGCACCCTAGCCCAGAGAACCACGGGCAGGGGCGGGTGGGGTGAAGGCAGTCACCCACCTGGATGCTGTTGCTGTCTCCGTAGTCCCAGCCACTCCTGGTCTGTTTTTGTTTTTCTGGAAGAGGAAAGATGGAAAAAAATCCCTAAGGAAAATGTAAGAGAGGAGGAGTCCCATCAAACTGTGGGCTGGCGGAACGGCTGTGCCTGGAGGCCCCGGCCTTGGGGCGCAGGAACGGAGCAGCCCAGAGCAGGGCTGGGGGACAGCAGGTGACGCTGGCCCTGCGTGTCCTGCAGATCAATACGCCCCCTTCCCCCCAGCTGCAACCACTCCACCTTCTCTGCCAGGCCCACAGTGACTGGACTCTGGTCAGACACAAAAACAGCCCACCCACAGCCCCGCCTGTCCAACCAAGAAGCAGGCGCGGGGGGGTGTGAGTGGCAGCATGGGTGGGTGCAGGCTGCTGGAACATATATACTGGGCCTGTGTGAGAGAGTGAGATTTGGGGGGGTGGGGGGGGGGGGGGGGGTGTCAGATTTATGTGACCCCCTCCTGCTTTGACTCTTCCTCCCCTCAGTGTGTCGGCTGCACCAGTGCTGCGTCCTCTGACGCTTGCCTCACACCAGGGCGTGCCGTGCCTCGTTTGTATCCCCAGGGAGCACCTGGGCCTGCCCCACCCCCTGGGAGACCCTCTCCCCCTGGATGCATGCTCAGGTGAAAGCAGGAGCAGAGTACCTGGAGCGGACAAGCAGCCCCGTGGGGGACGGATCGTACCTTGGTGCTGCAGAGATTTGAGCCCTGCCTGAGCCTGGTTGTGCAGCTCTTCCAGGTGCGGCGGGCGGCTGCTGGGGAAGAAGACATTGTCGGGCTGCTCCGCTCCCGCCTTGTACTGGACATTCAGCCTCTTCTTGTTCTCAGCCTTGGCAGAGCCTGGGAAGGCAAAAGGAATCAGCCTTGCACCACCACATCCCAGCACCTGCAGCCGGGGCTCCTGGGACGGGGAGGAGACAGCAAGAGGCAGCTCCAGGCCCAGGCCCCCTGCCCCCATCAGTGCTGAGCTGCCCTCACACTCACAGCTTCCCGGTGCGGTGACTTCATCGGGGACAACTATTTGTTCCCACCCTCACTCCTGGTTGACTGACTCTGTCAGTAAGACGGAAGCAGAGCGGGGCAGCCACCCGGCCTGAAGGAATCCTGGTGCCCCGGATGGGGGGCGAGGGGGTGCAGAGGGGAGAGTGCATTACAGAACGTGGGGGGGAGCCCAAATAGAAGCAGATGTGCAAATAGGGGGGCACTGGGGGACTTCTGGGGAAGCAGCAGGCGTGAGTCCCCTGGACTCATTGGAGGCCTAGGCTCTCTCGCTCCCACCTGGTCCTGCTCACACATACCCCTGGCCACACCAATGGGATGCCGACGACTCCTGCTTCACCCCTAGGGCTCCACCCAACGCCCATCCAGCCATGCGAGCCCCTCACAGCCCGGCCGCAGGTAGGGAGGGGCCATCCCATCCTGTACAGACAGGATCTGAGGCCCAGGGTAGATTCAGTGCATTATACAGCAACTTGTGGCAGAACCGGGAACTGACCCCAGATCTCTCAAGTGCCTGCTCGGTGCATCCTTCCTAAGCATTAAGAGGATCTCCATCGCCCTTGCGGGGCACGGCCAGGGTTAACTCGCTCTCCCTGACAAAGCTAGGGGCAAAGCTAGATAGCTGAGGGCCTGGCCCTGCTGGGGAAGGTCAGTGCTCAGGGCAGGTCTACACTTAACAAGCTGCAGCTGTGCAGCTGTTGCACGTTAGTGAAGACACTACTATGCTGACGGGAGAAGCCCTCCCATCGCCCTCGTGCTGCCTACACCAGCGGTTAGGTCGGCCTAACTGCATTGCTTTGGGGGGTGGATTTTTCACACCCTTGAGCGACATAGTTCCACCGATGTACGTTTATAGCGTAGCCCTGGCCGCAGTCTCTGCTCCAGGAACCCCTCCTCCGGTCACACTCCCCTTGGCATCCCTCCCCTCTGCTGGAGTCTGTATCCCCATGGCCTGGCATTTCTGACTCTGCGATGCCAGCAGGAATCAGCAAGCCAGCTAGGCGAGTCCAGGGCTTTTGCATTTCCGGTATCCATTGCAGCAGATCCCTTCATTGGCAGCTCCTCTTACAGCCCTGTGCTGGCAGAGGTGACCTGATACCTTCTCCACCAGCCCCTGGCTTTGGCAGCGGGAGGCTGCAGGTCTGACTCTGCTCTTTTGGAAGTGGATCCTGTGCCTTTAAAATGAATGCACTGAATAAGTGAAAGCTCCCCGGGGTGTATCACATGACTGAGACCAGAAATATCTGTGCACCTTGCACACAAACCAAATGAGCCAGCAGCTCCGGGCAGCTTAAAGAGACAGGCCACATCAGCACGGGGGAGAGCCCTCCACAGAGCCCCAAAGCCTGCAACTTCATCTCTGGGAGCTGCAGCCACCTCAGGGACTAAGGAGCCAATCCTAAACCAATGGGAGCAGAGGGTGCCCAGTGCCTTGCAGGATGGGACCAGAGGGCTGTCTGGCATTATCTCGAGGGTAGAGGGTAATTGCCGGCTGATTTACTGCTGCCCTAGTGATCAAAATACCTTGAGAAACAGTCAGGCCCTTAAATACACCCCTAATAATAGTATTGATATGCTATTTATAGCGCAACTTTGAGCCAATAAATGACCAATAATCCGTTGTCCTTATTATACAACCCCTTTCATCTGAGGATCTCAAAGCACATTACAAACACTAAGTAAGCATCATAACTGCCTCTCTTCCCCACAAAGTTGCTATATATTGTAATAAACTAGCTTTTGGGGGCATGATTGTCTTCCGCTAGGAGGAATCGAAATAGCTCAACTGAGTTATAGTCCCTATGTGGACAATAACTAAAAGAGAATCTCCTTACATCCAAGTGGCAGGGGCCTGTGGATTGGAAATGAAACAGGAGGACCAACTTTCTATCCCCATAGTCTCTGTGAAGTTCTGAGCAGCTGCAGGGTTTAAGCACAGGATTCAAAGTTGTCACTAACTGGCTACAGTGGGATTTATTCCCAGATAAGTATCCCCATTTCACAGATGGGAAAACTGAGGCACAAATCACATGCCCAGAGTCATACAGTGAGTCAGTGGAAGAGCCAGGAACAGAGCCTAGGGGCTTTGAGACCCAACCCCCTGCTCCAGTTACTGGATATTACTTCCTTTGTCTTGTCTATACAGATCTTGTACCAGTATAACTGTCGGTTAGGGGTGTGATTTTCTATCAGTAGTTGTACCAGAGCAAGTCCTACTGTGGAGGCAATTTTACCAGTATAGCTATTCCCGTACAGGAAGAGACCGGTACATGGTAAAACCACCTTTATACCACTAGATCTGCATCCACCCTAGAGGGTTGGTATTGCTGTAACTATCCCACTATGGCTACAGTGACACAACTTGCGTGCATAGACAAGGCCTTATTTATCCACACCAGAAATTTGCACTCATTTCTCCAACCCACAGCCCGGCTGGAAGGAGGAAGCACTGACTTCAGAGCATTCTCCCTGGGCTTCTCACAGCCAGCCGAGATGAAGGCGGGAAAGGGCTGATGACCAGGACAATAACTGGGACCTACCAAACTCTGTGTTTGAAGATCAGTTCCCACCCCAGCCACGCACCTTCCGAACTGGCTCTCTCCTTCCCATTCCCCAAGGCCTTCCTCCCACATTCTCCTTTCTGTCCATCATCTCACACTTTCCCTCAGCTTTGCACCTCTTCTCTCCAGGCAGGTAGCACTTATACCTTCGAACCCTACTTCACCCTCGGATGCTGTCAGAGGGAGGGGAGGATTATTATCCCAAGCCACAGAGAGGTGAAGGGACTTGCCCCGATGTCATCTTCAGAGCAAAACTCCCTTTTTGGAAGAGATGCTCTGGTCAAACACAGGTTATAGGGCCCAATGCAGGGGGAACTGGGGAGAAGTTCTCTGGCCTGTGCTCCGGAGGAGGTCAGACGACATGATCTCATGGTCCCTTCTGGCCTTGGAATCAATTAATCTCTGAATGAGGTGTCCCAGCCAATCACAGGCAGAGCTGGAAATAGAACCCAGGAGTCCAGGCTGGTTCTTAGCCCAGGTCATTGCCCTACTTCACCCCACTAATTACTAGTACACTGAAGCCTTCTACATGCTGACTCGAGGCTGCCCTTGAACACCTCACCCCCCACCTGCCTTTTCTCAGCTTAGCAACAAATCGATACAGTGGAGACAGGTTTCCCAAATGCTGCCAACGCTGGGGAGGTTTCATCCTCACTTGCCTGAGAAGGACAAAGCTGGGGGTGCAGACGCTGGGCCCAACCATCTACCAGCATCCTTGTCAAGGGAAAGCGAGTTTGTACATTGGACGCGGGTTTGCCACCAGCAAAGGAGATAAGTGGCAGGGGAGGGGGTGGGAGTCTGAAGCGAAACAAGTAAATAAAGCAGAAGATTCTCCTCCCACCTCAGCATTTACACCCCTTACAGCACTTCAACCAGGCATCTCAAAGCCCCTCAAACACAGGAATTAATTGAGCCCACAATCCCCCTGTGAGGCAGGGAAGTATTTACCCAGTTTTTAAAAATGGGGAAACTGAGGCACAGAGGGAGGCTGCGACTGGCGCACGGTCACCCAGCCAGTCGAGCCAGAAGCAGAACCCAGATCTCCTAACTTCCAGTCACCTCCTTTATCTTTTAGGCCACACTTCCTACCCCATTCCAGTGAAATCATCCCCTTCCCTGTGGTAGCACACTAGATTCTCATCTCAAAACAGCCTCCATGAACACAGCACTCAGTGGACTGAGGCATCAGCAGCTGGCTCTCACTAGCTGTCCCGGGCTCCAGAGTCTAAGTAACCTGCCCTGGAGGAGTTCTGTGGGGGGTCACGCTTCCCACTGTCTACCCTGGGAGATAGGCGGGTGCTGAGTCAGCTCAACAGGCTCTCCCCCTTCAGCCTACATTTCTTGCCCATTACGGCTCATCTCATTCTAGGTGCCCTGCAGCAGTGGAGAGAAAAACAACTTTGTGCTGAAAAAAGGACGGGAGAGGATGAGTAGCTGACCGAGGCCGTGGAATCACTACAGAGGCACCGACCATCCCCCTGCACACACTTCCCAGTGTCTTCTTCACCAGTCACCCCGTCTTCAGGGCGCACACACACAGGGCCTCTAACCCAAATAGCTAGAGAACCACCCCTCCTCCACAGCATCTCTGCCACGGCTGCACACACCCGATGTATGCACTCAGATTAAAAGCCAGGCAGATGAAATACGGACTGCTGCAGCAGCTCCAGATCTGCACAATGGGGAAAGGACACAGGACAATAGAAAGGATTCCGCCCTGCTAAGCCGCACAGAAAAAGAGATTCTCTCCCAGCCAGGCAGCATCTGCAGCCAGCCAGCCAGCCGCAGGGTCGGACATGGGCAGAAACAGCAGGGCCAAAGAATCCTGGATAAGTTGGGACACAGAATACAAAGCACACGCAACCCAGTTTATGGGACCCAGGAGCCCTCTCACACACCCCGCCAGGGCCAATGCCTTCATCCAGGACCCCGGTCTACCCCCATAAGACCGTGCATACCCCAAACAAGCCCTTTTCTGCTGTGATTTCAGCACAATCGCTCCCCCAGCCTGGGCACACCCTGCGAGTCATCTTCAGGCAGGAAGCAGCTCGCTGGTTTATTCCGTTAACTTCCTAACAAGAGCAGCCACTGCTGGGGTGACCTTTCCCTGCCCGATCCAGAGAGGCAGCCAGCTAGAACGGGATCCTTCTCGCACCATGCCGGGGAGCCAGCCCAGCCCCACAACACAAGGGGGGCAGGGAGGCTTCATGCTTGGAGATCGCCTATGGCCAGGGTTACATAAGGACAAGGGTTCGTCCCACCGAGGCTGTACTCACCTTT